TTTTTTTTTTTTTTTTTTTTTTTTTGTATATTCTCAGAATTGTGCAACCATCACCATAATCAATTTTAGGCCATTTTCATCACGCAAAAAAAGAAATCCCATGGCAATTAATAGTGACTTCCCATTCCCCACTGTCATTAGTTCTAGGCAAACCATTAGTCTCCCTTTTGCCTCTGTAGATTTTCTATTCTGAACATTCATTGAGTGTCCAGAATATTTACTTGTCAATGGTGAGTGACTTCATTTATTTTGTGTAATGGGTTTGAGGTACATTATGTTTTAACCTGTATCTATGCTTCATACCTTTTGTGGTTGAACAATACTGTGTAGCTGTTCCACATTTTCTTTATCCATTCATCATTTGATGGACATTTGAGTTGTTTCCATGTTTTGGCTATTAATGCTGTTACGAACTTTCATGTGTTTTTGTGTGGACATTTCAGTTCTCTTAGGTGTTAATTAACTAGCAGTGAAACCACCAGGTCATGAGGTAACTATGCCAAACAAAAAATAAAAATTTTATTGTTGTTCTGCTTTTTTCTTTTTTTGCAGACCTAGAAATTGAATCCATAGCTGCCTTCTCACTGAACTCCACCCCCCGTGACACACGCACACACTTTTTTTTAGAAACAGGTTCTTGGTAAGTTGCCCAGGTTGAGTTTGAGTTTGTGATTCTCCTGCTTCATCCTCCCAGAGTGCTGGGGTAACAGGTGTGCACCACCACATCCAATTAAAAATTTATTTATTTTAAAAATAAAAAAATTTTAAATTTAATGTTGAACTCACATTTTTCTAAAGGACATTGTAGTGATTGATTATAGCTCCAAAAATATTCCATAAACCTTCTTTCTTCTCTTGTTACTTTTTCACTCCACTCTTCATTATGAAAAGTCAGGCATATAGTAAAAGTAGAATATAAATATACCTAACACCTAAGTTTAATAACTGATACTTTGTATTATTTTGTCTAAGTATTCTGAAAGTAAATACAGTTAAACACCTCAGTTTACATCTCAAAAAATATGGACATTTTCAAGCCAGGCATGGTGATGCATGCCTGTAATCCCAGCACTCAGAAGGCTGAGACAGGAGGGTGGCTGTGAGTTTGAGGCCAGCCTGGGCTACAAAGGGAGTTCAAGGCTGACCTGAACTCCTGGACAGTGAGATCCTGTCTCAAAAAAACAACAAAAAGGACATTTTTGTGCATTGCTATGATTGTGATTTTATTGCTGATGTTTGAGTGGCTGACTTCAGTAAGTGGTTAAAGTAAAAGCTGGATTGATCCTGACAAAGGCACATCTTTCATGAACACCCACGCTGGAGTTTTAATAGAATAATATTGTCTCTATATATTTTATAGTTTTTGGCATGTCAGAACTATATAGTTCTCTGTATGATAGTACTACTTAATATAGTGTGATTTTTACTTTAAAAAGTATATTCTTCTTCTCTTGTGGTCTGTGTGTTGTGAACCAGGCCACTCTTCCACCCTTGAATGACATGTCTGACTGGAACCAAGGTTCTGTTTACAGGTTTATTGCTCTTTCTCCCTGTATCAAAGCTTTTTCACTGGTTGTCTTTTATATCTCAAAAGAGATGCCTCAGTTGAAGGCATTCATTCTTATTTTCACTGCTGCTACCTTGTTAGGATTCTTCTCTGTTCAATTATCATAAGTTTTCAAATTGGTCTTTTTGCTTCTAATCTCTCCACTCTAACAGACAATCTACTGCTTGAAACCTTTGATGGTTCTCTATTGCCTACAGAACAAAGTTTTGTGGCAAGTCATAGGAAGATCTTATCAACCTTTCTTCTCAGCCTCAGCCTTTACCCCTTTGTGCCCTGTGCCCATCACTGTAACCCTCTTTATGTACCAAATAATTCATGATCTTTTATGTTTCTATACTTTCCTTCATTCATTTCCCTAGTTTGGATTTCATTCCTCTCTGAAGAAAGCTCCTTGCCCAAATATAGCTACATTATTTCTTTGTTCTGATAGTTCTTTATATATACTACGTTACTGAATTTAATAATACTTTTTTCCATTTCTGTGTGCTCTCAAATACAACATACCTTTGACAAATGTTTAAGTACCTACTATATTTTGGGCTATTAGGTGGCTACAGAGCAAACAAAATATATAACTTACCTTGATAGAATTTATAGTCTAGCAGAGTAAGCTTGTTGAAGGCAGTGACCCTGTTTTATTTTGTGTTGCTGCTGTCTAGCACAGAACCTGCCCTGTAGTAAACTTTTCAGTGCATATCATTGAGTAAAGATGCTTACTATACCCCCAGAATTCAAAGACCTAATCCAAAAATGGTATTCATGAGATAAATACACACTTCTCAGATAAAGAAATACAAATGACAAATAAATACATGAAAAACTGTTCAACATCATTGGTCATTTGAGAAATGCAAATTCAAATAACACTGAGATCCCATCTCACCCCAGAAAGAATGGCTGTCATCAAGAAATCAACCAATAACAAATGCTGGAGGCGCTGTGGGGAAGAAGAAACACTTTGCCACTGCTGGTGGGAGTGCAGACTGGTGCAGCCACTGTGGAAATCAGTCTGGAGATTTCTCAGTAAACTAGGATTAGAGGTCCAATTCAACCCAGCCATTCCCCTTCTGGGTATTTTTCCAGAACTGAAAACATACCACAGCGATATATGTGCACCCATGTTTATAGCAGCACAATCTGTAATAGCTAAATCTTGGAAACAACCCAAGTGCCCATCAACTGAGGAATGGATAAAAAAGATGTGGTATTTTTACATAGTGGAATATTACTCAGCTATAGAGAAAGATATACTCGAGGCTTTCAAAGTTAAATGGATGCAACTAGAGACCATACTCATAAGTGAAATAAGTCAGACTCACATGTATAAACATCATATTGCCTCGCTGGTATAAGAATCTGAAAGAGTAAATAAAATCTGAAAGGTACAATAGAGATTGTGAAAGGGAAAGAAACTGCTCAAAAGGAAAGAACAGCTGGGATGAGGGAAGCGAAAAAAGGAAGGAAAATTTATATATATACACACAATAGCTGAGGTAATTATACTGCTAAGTTCTATTGGTTTATTTATTTTTTTGTTTGTTTGTTTGTTTTTTGTTTTTTCTCCGGTACCGGGAACCGAACTCACGACCTTGCGCTTGCCAGGCAGGCGCTTTTTGCCGCTGAGCTAAATTCCCCAGCCCCAGTTCTATTGGTTTATTGAAAGGAACAGTTAATGTGTAATTGTTTGATCAATCTTACATGCCTAGATCTGGTTATCTGACTAACCACTTTGAAGATAACAGTATGTAATATAACAACCATTGTTAATTTCCTATCATCTCACTTTGAAATTTTGTGTCGATTTTATGTTTTATATCTTTGTTATTTTTTGTTCTTTTCTCTTTAAAACAAAAAAATTGCTATTTTTTTCTGCAAAGAATAACTTGAGACTCAGATTATTACAGGCAGAACAGTGTGCAAAGACAAAATGTGAAGATGTATTTAGGGTTTTTCTAAGAATGAGATACTTTTTGTCATGTTTCATTATAATACTCAACTAGAAAAGTGGTTGGCAAACAAGTTAACTTTGAAGCTTCCACACCTTTAGAATATCGTAAGTAGTGATTCTTTAAAAGGTAGTCAGTATCAAATTCAATTTTTAAATGGATTTATTTGGACTGTGTATTGTGTAGTTTTTTTAAATGTAAATTAATCTGTACTTTATACTTTTATAAGTGTATATTTCTAAGTACTCAGACTGTCTTCATCCAAGACCATGGTATCATGGGAAATATGGTTATGTTGTAGTCTTTAATCTAATTAAGATAAAGCCCAGATATACTTTTATGTTATTTTCTTCTAAAAACTGAAGGTTAACTGCCTATGATACTCGTTATAGATCATGTCCTTGTCTGTGGTGCCTGTTCAAACTCAGGGAAGGCAAAACTAATTTTTCTGTTCTTTAAAGCCAAAACTTTTATTCATTTAATGAACATTCTTACAGAAGAGGTTTCTAGATAATAGCAGGTATATTCACTGAGGCCTTGCTCTCTCCCCTGCCTAGCAAAACCACTTTTAAAACATGAACTAACAGAAAACAAATAATGCTTATAAAATAGGATTACAGTCGTAAAAGGTAATTTTAGAAAGTGAAATACATTGTCTGATTTAAATTGTATAAGAAGTTTTATTTTTCTTCATCTTAAAGCTCTCCAAACATTGTTCATAGCATTGTGTGGCATCTAGTACTGATCTTACAAATTTTTAAGTATTAGAAGTAGCGCAGGGTAGAATTCTTAAATAGTAGGGAAACTGATTTTAGAGGTTAGTGTGCTTTGCTTTTTGGGAACATTTCTGTGGTTGTGTTTTGCTTTCTTGTATTATTTTCGGTTTTGCTTTCTCACTTTTTTGGTTTGTTTGTTTTTTGGTCTTTGAGACAGGGTCTCACTGTGTAGATCAGGTTGTCCTGAACTCACTGTGTAGCCCAGGCTGGCCTTGAATTTGAAGTGATCCTCCTGCCTCTGCCTCCGCCTCTACCTCCCTAGTGCTGGGGTTACAGGCAAGCACCATCATGCGTGGCTGGAGTGTGAACCCTATATTTCAGTTTGTCCCCCAAGAACTGGAGAGAATGTAACACTGCTTTGAGGTACAGTCCTTGCTTAATCTTCATTCTTAATCTTCACTCTTCTTCCCTGTGATAAATACTGTAGTTCTGCCACAGAAAGGCCTGATCATGCAGACGATAAGCATTTGGTTTCTTAATTGTATTAATTCTCACCATCTTGGCTTCTTGCTGGTGTATCCTCCTCACCTGGCTGGAAATTGCTATTTTTGCCTCTGTACTTCAGTCTTCCTGGTTTTATTTCACAAAAGCAAACCACACTCAGTGCCATAAGATGTTTGACAGAAGGTAGAGGTTATGACTATTAGTATAGTGCTATTTGCATTCTTTGGCTTCTTACTATTGCCTTATGTCACTATATTATTCAGTCAGCTTTTTAAATCATTCACTGTATAATATTTCATATGGTAACCTTTAACCTTTGATAATGAGAAGTGTAAGTGAGAAATACATTTGACTGTTCAGTGATCAAGGCCAACTGCTTATGAAGCATTTTACTACATACTTGCTGACTTACTGGGTTTTGGTGTAATTTGCAATTGATTAATGCTTCAGTTTGGAAACGCATCTTTTGAAATTTTACATTTTTGTCATCTTTTCTGTTGTAGTCAATGAATAGCAGTTCACTGAGTATATCAGAATTGGTGATTACATGGTATTTCTCTTAAAGACACGATTTTCTTACAAGGTAGGGTTATAACTCAGTGGGAGAACACCACTTACCTTGCATATGCAAGTCCCTGGATTCAATTCCCAACATCCTTTCTGTAAAATAAAAATGATTCTCTTAAATTTAGACTAATTATATTTTATGGTAAAAGCAGTAGGTATTTGCCTCAGAAGATGCTCAAACATGATTTGTTAATACAGTCTTGAGTTTTCTAGATAATTAAAACTACTGTTGGCCTTAAGATCACTCTTTTCTCAGAAGGTTTTTTTGTTTTGTTTTTGGGGTTTTTTTTTTTTTTTTTGCCTTTTTGAAACAGGGTCTCACTACGCAGTTCACGCTGTCCTTGAACTCACTTATGTAGCCTAGGCTGGCCTCAAACTCAAAAAGATCTTCCTGCCTCAGTCTCCCAAGTGCTGGGATTACAGGCATGTGCCTCCATGCCCAGCTTAAAACTCATTTTTTTTTTTCAGGACTCAAACTCAAACTTTGCGCTTGCCAGGCAGGCCCTTGTGTCACTGAGCTATATCCCTGGCCCTTTTTTTCTTTTTAAAAAATGTTGCTTTTTTGTGTTTTTGTCTAAGAAATATAATTCTTAACTATCGTTACTAGTAGTGAAAACACATTTACATCCCTGTTAGGCTACTTTTAAATGACTCCTAGAGTAAAGGTTATTGTTATTTGAAGATATCAGATTAGTCTTAATATTTTCATTCCAAGGAAAAGTCAAGTTTGTGTCTGAGAATTGTACAGCTAATTATACTAGGTTCTCTTCTGGCTAAGATTGTCACATGCCTACAGATACTAATAAAGTTTCTCACAAGATGTGTCTTTTTGTGTCTTTGAACTAAGTCAGGTATAGTCATCTGTGAATAAATAATATTCAAGCTATGTTTCTGAATTTGACGTGTTAAATTTCAGGGTGAGTAGAGTTGAGATACATATGCAATCCATAGTGCTGATGATACTTATTTTTGTTCTTTCAGAATTACTTCTATGAACTTTAAAGCAGGACTGTTATTATGTGACCCAGTCAGATCTGACCTTACATAATTGTAGCTTTTCAGTATAGGGAACCTAAGAAGATGGCAACACCAGCTCATAAAAGCATGTAAGTAATTATGTGCACATACTCTGTTTAACTGAGTTTGTTTCTTTTGCTCTTACAAAAATGCCCTTTTTTTCTTTTCCAGACATGAAGACAATAAAAATGGTAAGAAATTACTTTATTGGTTCTTTGTGGGGGTTACTGTAGTAAATATTTCATTCACAAATAATGTTTAAATTCTTTTATCTTCATTTCTTCAAGTTCTCATGTCTCCATGGAAAGGAAAATTAACTGTTCAAAATTGTGTGCTGTGTGATATAACTTTGTGGTCCAATAATGGTGCAGTAATTCCCGCACAGTTGTAAGTATCCTTCCTGATACTTATAGTACAGTTATTTTTCATCCAGTACTAGCTGTCTAACCCAGGGCCTTGTGCATGCTAAGAAAGCACACTGCCACTAAAAAGTATGGTACCTCCAAGCCCTAGTTTATGTTTTTGTTTCTGTTTTAAATTCTCTTTTTTAGGTCTTGGTGGATGATATTAGGTTAAATTTAGCAGTTAGACTTGGGTTTAGATAGAATGCATTTGAGAGGATGTGTAGAACACAAGGCTGTGACACAGGAAACCTAATTTTTAATCTATTAATGGGAAAATGATCTCTCAGAATAAATTATTCGATACTAGAAGTCTGACTTTCCTCTAAAACAAATCAGATTTGCCTAAATATAACAGATTATAGCAACCAAATTCTGTTATTAAGTTCATTAAGATTTGCATATTATACTCTCAGAAAAATATTGCTTAAAGTCGATGTTACATCTGTCTACACTATAATAAATTACCATAATATATTTTTTCCTGGGGAACCATGAAAGACATCTGTGAACCATTTTTGTTCAGCGGGTTATAATCTGGTACCCAAAACCGTCAAAGGTAGGCATAGTTTAGTGAATACAAAGTAAAAACAAGTGTAGTATCAGAACTTATTTACATTCTGTTGATCCTCTTAAAGAAAAGTCAACAAAGGTATTGTAACCCACAAAGTAAAGAGTTAGTTGTATGAATAAATAAAAAGAAAAGAAGGAAATTTTTTCTCATTGTAGAGTGCAGCTAGTAAATGTTGAAAAACTGATAGAATATGATAATCAACAAGTGGATGTCAAAAATAGTAAGTTAAAGCTTGGATGATATTTGCATATATCAGTACAACTTGCTTATTAATCACAGGGGGAAAATTGACTTACCTGTAGGGAAAACTGGCAGATCTCATCTTGATTAAGTTAACTTAGCCATTAACACAGTAGGTGCCATGTGCTTTCTGCTATTCGGCACAGAAAATGACACAGTAGCGCTTCTGTCTGTGGTGTGGCTGCTAACCTAATCAGGAGAAAATGTTAGACCTATCCAGATTCAAAGACATTCTATCAGATGGTCTGTATTCTTTAAAATATCAAGGTCTTTAAAAAGAAAGACTAAGAAATTGTCCCAGATAAAAGGAGACTAAACAAATAGGATAACTAAATGCCTTGTGTTATCCTGAATAAGAAATTGTTTTCTTTTGCTGTGAAGGACCTTAATGAGACATTTGACAAAATTTGAATGAGGTCAATTAAATAATGGTACTATATCACTGTGAATTTCTTGATTTTGATGATTGCTTCATCATTGTACAAGAAAATTTCCCGTTTTGAAGTAAATATATGAAGAAATATTTAGTTAAAGGACTAGGTTTGCATCTTACTCTCAGAAGAATCAGAAAAGTTAATGTGTAGTGAGTAACAAACCAAATGTGCTTGGGGATCTGCGTGAAGGATGTAAACTGTGTTTTATACTGTTGTACAAGTTTTCAAGTCAAAAATTATTTCAGAATAGGTTTTGGAAAAAGTAACTGGGCTATGTCTTCATTACTTTTCTCCTATTGTTGCAACAAAATATCTGGCACCCAAAGTTAAAAGAAAAAAGGTCCATTTAGCTCACAGTTTGTAGAGGTTTCAGTCTATAATCAGCTGGGTCCAAGGCAGGATGGCTTCACAGAGGAGAGCAGTTCATGGCAGCAGAAGACAGCTAAAGAAACAAGGAGGAAGACAAGACTTTTTCTGTCCCTTATATTGTATGCAGGTTACCCACCCTTAATCCTAGCCAGAACTATGCCAAAACAATTAGGGGACTGATTTACCAGTCTCGCACTCTTAATCCCAACATCACATACTCTAGATTTAGCTACCTCTGAAAAGGTCCTATGACCACATGAGGCTTTGGGGGGACATCTAGACACAAACCACCACAGGAAAATATAATACAAAAGATACAGTTCCTTGTATGGCACAATCCAGTATTACCAGGAATTTTCAACTCTTCTGTGATTCTTCCATACATCTGGATATTTTGGTTTTACCAAGAATACATATATTCAGAAAATCTGGGCATATTTTCAGACCATATGTGTGGGTCATATGTATGAAAATCTATAATGTTACAAATATGCATATTATTTAACCTGGAGTCTATTAATTTAAGGACTTTTGTGGTAATTGTACTGTTAATTGCATTTACCTTAGAAAACTAAAACTTACAGAACTATAGATATAATTTCAATATTTATTGCACAACTTCATATTGTTTTTTTTAGACCACACATACTAGATTTTGAGTATGTAATTCAAGTGTCATCTTTGAGAGAAAAACTGCCAGAAGCTGCTTTGAGAAAACAGACTTACTCAGAGGAAAGAGGTCTGTTGAAATGAAACGGCGCACTGCATGTTCTGGGCTTTCTTTTATTTTCTGCTCTTTGTCTTCCAAACACACATGCACACATGTACTTTTGTTTCATCATAAATGTTCCTTAAAAGGGTCTTTCGAGAAAGTTCTAGAGTTGTCATACTCATTTCCTTGGAAGCTGAGTAGAAACTGGGAGGTAGTTTTATTTAAAATGAAAGACTAGGTTTAATAGATGATATTAAGAGATATTTAAAATAGTTGGAAACTGACAACCATTCTTCTCAAGGACAAAAGCATTTTTGTTACTGTTTTTATTTAAGTACTTTTAAATCAAATGAATGAAAAATAAATATGAAAAAAAATTTTTGAACCAGGCGTGGTGGCACACGCCTGTAATCCCAGCACTCAGGAGGCTAAGGTAAGAGGATCATTTCAAGTTCAAGACCAGCCTGGGCTACAAAGTGAGCTTGTGGGCAGCCTGAACTGCATACCGAGACCCTGTCTCAAAGAAAGAAAGAAAGAGAGAGAGAGAGAGAGAGAGAAAGAGAGAGAGAGAGGAGGGGGGAGGGAGGGAGGGAAGAAGGAGGGAGGGAAGAGAAACAAAGGAAGGAGGGAAGAAGGGAGGGAGAGAAAAGAAAAGAAAGAAGAAAGGAATGGAAAGGAAAGGAAGGAAGGGAGAGAGAGAAAGGAAGGAAGGAAAGAAAGAAAAATTTTTTGGTCATTTAGGTTACTTCATGGAACATTGATGTTTATGTAGTATTTGTCTTGTTTTTTTGTTTGTTTTTGGTACTGGGAATTGAACTCATGACCTTGTGCTTGCCAGGCCGGTGCTGTGCTGCTGAGGTATATCCCTGGCCCTCGTATTTGTCAACGCTGTGGCCGTGTCAGTGTAAATGAGAGCATTATTTTAAAATAATTAATTCACAGCTGGGCATGGTGGTGCACACCTGTAATCCCAACACTTGGGAAATTGAGGCAGGAGGATCACCACAAGTTCAAGGTCAGCCTGGACTACAATAGTTCAAGACCAGCCTGAACTACATAGTGAGACCCTGTCTCAAAGCAAAACTACTTCAGTAACTTTTTATTAAGGAGTTTTATAACTATGAACATTAAATCATAAAGGTTTTTGAGTAGTATTGCTAGTTCCTTCACTTTGGTGATGTAAAATGAGTGAATAATAAAAATACAACATATTGAAAAAAATGTTTATTTTTCTTATTTCCTTTACAGTCTGTTCCCAAGATTTGTGCTTCAATTTGTATGAGGCAGAACTGTCAAACAAACAAGGGAAAGAAGTAGATAAATTAATATACTACGTTGAAAATAAGCAATTGGTAAGAATTTTTTTTTTAATTTGGTTTTTTGAGACAGGATCTTGCTATGTACTTCACACTGGTCTTGAGCTCACTGTGTAGCCCAGGTTGGCCTTGAACTCATGGCAGTCTTCCTGCCTTAGCCTCCTAAGTGCTGGGATTATACACGTGTGCCACCAGGGCCAACAAGAATCATTCATTTAGAACATAATTTTTTTCTTGAATTGAGAAATTGGTGTCAAAGTATTTGCTGGCTGTGTCTAGATAGAATTATTTTAGATTGCTGAGATGATTTTCTTTGAGATTTCTTGATGTGTTCACATTGACTTAACATGTTTTCATCCCCCATATACCTCAGTTTACTTTTGTGTCTCAAAGTGTTTATTTATTACCTTAAAATAAGTGTAAGAACAGTGGATTTTATCTTTGTTATGGCTGTATAGGTATTTGAAATGGTGAACAGTGGAAAAAAAAACTTTTAATTTAATGATTTAGAATGGTAGCTTTTAGATAACTTCCCCTGATTTCTGGGGACAAAATTCTCCTACGTGGTAAAAACATTAAAATTGTGGAGTTCAAGATTCCGTTGAAGACTGTGGTAGAATTTACTTTTATTTGTATTTTTGTTGCACCTAGAACTGATTAGTTTCTATTATTTTTTTATCAGGATGTTGTAGAAAGAATTTGGGAGAGGTTGATACCTTCTAGTCTTTCTAGTTCCAGGATTCTGCAAAAATTTTTATGTAAACATGAGTTTAAGGTGCTACTTAGGACTAGAGATGTAGCTCATTGGTAGAGTGCCTGCCTAGCTTCTGTGAAGGCATGGGTTCAATCTCCAGCACTGTAAAAAATAAAATACAATATTTATAGATCTGATTCATCTTGAATTAATGGCTGTGTGGTAATGTATTGACTTTTATTTTCCTTGTTTTCTGAGACAGGGTCTCACTATGTAGTCCAGGCTAACCATGAACTCACTATGTAGCCTAGGCTGGCCTCAGAACTCTCAGTAATTTTTCTGCCTCAGCCTCCCAACTGCTGGGATTACCCATATGGGTTTTTGGATGGTGATTAGAAATGTAAACCATCTCACTGAGAAAAAAATGAAATAAGTCTTTTCTCATTGACCTGATACATGGTTGAAGAATATTCTGAAACTAACCCTTGCTGTTCTAGTTACTGTGTTTAGCCAGGATGGGGCCAAGATTATTTGAGCTAAGGAGCGTGTGGTTTCTGATACTGGAGACAAAATTCTCATCACTCCTATAAACACTAACAGTTCAAGAATTTTTTCTTGAGCTCAGAATACCATGAGTGTAGTAGACAACAAAGGTGTTAAACAGTCTTTCATGTTTTTTGTTTTCATGTTTAAGGCAATCATCAAATGCTTAGAAGATCGAGGGTTTGTCATTTTACTTCCATCGTCAGCCTTAATAACAGAGCCAGGTAAAGACAGCTAACTTTGGGGAAATTTTTCTTTCAGTTTATTTACGTTTGTTTTATAAGTTCAAAAGCAATAACCTTTCCTCTTTTGATTCTCATTCTGTATAGATAATGGAGATGAACAGATGAGTCTGCAAGTGTTACATTTGTTCCGTTCACCCCTGGCCACAGGTGAGGGTCCAGTGGCATCCAGTTCACTTGGGTCTGTTTTCGGTCCTCATCTGACTTGACATCTTGGTAATTCATGACAGTGCTGTTTTAGGGTTTTTTTTTTCCTCTTCAATAACTCTCTTTTCTTACACTACAGACTTGACTCCTCTTGACCTCCTTTGAAGGCTTGCCCTTTCCTCTGAGCATCAGGCCCATGTTTTCAGTGTCTGCTGTCATTTCCACCTTGATTATCTCCAGGGTTCCCCAAATTCATCTTGTCCAAAATTGAATCCATCTGTTACTGAACAGTAGTAAACAGGATATACTTTACCCATAGCCTATACATTAGTAGGCGCAACTCAGAGTCTTCATAGATGTGCTTCCTTCTGTCTGTACCATTGATTGCTGTATTTGTCGTATGCATTTTGAGGATGATAATGCCTCCCTAAAGGACCAACACTTAGCGGTTGTCGCTAAAAAATATTATTCATTTAGTGCCTAAACAGATATGCAATATAGCTGTGGTATTAAATTTTCATAGGGCAGTTAGGTTAAAATTACGTCTTCTTAAAAAGGTTCTTAAGGAAGGATAATAATCAAAAAGTGGAGAAACACTAATCTGATTTATTTATGTCTATCAAATTGTACTTTCAAGATCACTTTTTTGATAACTTTTCAACTAGAATCCTTAGGTTTATTATCAATAAATTGTTTAGTGTTTATCTTTTGTCACAAGAGGAAATTCTCAATGTTCTATAATCATACTCTGTACTTTTTTTGTTTTGTTTTGTATTCTGTGATGTGTGTTAGATAAGTGTTCAAATACTAAGCTCCTATAAACACTAACAGCCAGTATGGCCTGTGTTAAAACGTAAACTTTGCCTGTGGTATTTACAAAGCTGCAGCCAATACAGGAAATTTCTTAAAAGTTGTTTTTTTTAAGGGGGGTGGTGTTGAGACAGGATCTCACTGTGCTGCCCAGATTAGTCTTGAATTCTTAGAGTCGGGGGTCCCCCACCTCAGCCTTTCAAGAATCTGAGATTTTTAAGGGTGCAGCACCATGCACAGCTAAAATTGATTTTTTGTATTAAGTTACTGAAAGCCAAGAGCTATACTTTCTTGGGTATCACTTTTTTGGAATGAGCGAGAATTAGGATTTGTAATAACAGTGGTTTATTTGAATTGTTATGTTCAGTATTGTAAAAGGTGTAATTGATTTAGCAATCCTAAAAAAAAAGATAAACCAAGTATTTTCTCAACATTATGAATCTGCATCCAGTACTGTCTTTGTATACTGAATTTTAGAGCACCTCTTAAGATTTCTGACATCATTCTTTTTCATTGTAAATTGACACTTGGATAAGAACCTTTACTACCTGTACCCAGAACAGACTAGGAACTCTATTAAATACTGGCATGTTTTATTTTTCATTTGCTCTTCACATTCATTAAGACATTTTTTTACTTGGGGTCATCCAGAGGTTTAAAGCTTTAGTTGTTTTACTTTGAGTAATATTTTGTTCAGCCAACTTAAAAAACATTAAAGATTTTATAATAGTCTGTTAGAAATAATACTCATTACCAAGTTCTTTCTTTCAGTAATGCAGTTACCTAGAAAATGCTACTTTATTGCTAACTGTGTACTTTACAATGCATAAGGACTTTTTTTTATATTTTATACCTTCTTCACTTCTTATGTGTGAAATATGAGCTACAAAGACAGGAACTTTTACTTGAACACTTAGCCACATTTTCCTGTTTGTTCATATTTGCTCTTCTTTTCCTCTGACTAATTCTTGTTATAGTGGTAATTATTTAAATAGGACTGACGTGATGTTTTATAATTCTGCAGTTGTTTTCTCTTTTAAAAGAATGGGATAATTCCCATTCCATTTACTGGGTACCAGAGGTCTTTATTATCTGTTGGTTTATATTACTGATAACTGAAATTTTCTGCTATATATGTTAATAATAAGTTCATAAAAGCCTGACCTTCTCTTGTTTTCTCTCACTGGTTCATTTTAGTTACTGATTTGCTTAAGAGATAGCATTCAAAGAGTGAGTTAGAAGAGAAGGTGAAATAGACTAGTTGATTTAGTTTATTTTAAATTTCTTTATTCCATTTGCTAGAAAAGATAAAGGAATTAGCAAATGTTATATCAGTGAGATTTGAAGATTAGTTAGGGCCTTCTTTCAATTTAGTTGATTTGCATTATAACTTCTCAAAAGAATTTGAAGAGAGTTGTGTAGGTACAAATAAAACAATGTATTTCTAAAGCAGAAAATAAGTAAAATAGGAAAGTATATCTGCTCTAAAGGCCATTGTTGCTACTATAAAGGACTATTGACATGCTGCTGAGTTCCTGATCCAATGAGATAGAGCTGGAGGTAGAGTCTAGTTTATTTGTCCTGACTTAATAAGTGCCTGTCATGATTCTGTTTCAGTTCAGTGTATGCATATAATTTCCAGTCTGTGAAGTTAAATATTTAGGAACAAATCCCCCCCAGCTTAAACCATGTGCATGACTGTCCCATTGAATGGCTTGTATCACTGGTGGTACAAATGGATGTTATTGCTTTTATCCATTTTTTTACTAATAAAATTAATAAAAAGCCACCCAATAGGACAGTCATGCATGTAACACTGGTGGTTTAAGCTGCAAAAGCAAGATAAACAAATTGCAGCCCTGTCGTGAATATGTTAAATACACTCATAGGTGTGTTAGTTGCTGTTTGGTTATTGTTAGGAACCTCTTGGCATATTTAACTATCCTTTCATCCCCTACATGTTTTATTAAAGAAACTTAAGGCTTCTAATATATGTGATATCTATTTTAGAGGTGAAAGTTTTGAAAATTGAAGATGACATCTTATGGAAGGTGGTTCCTATTTTACCTGCTCTTAATTGTGCCCTCCTAGAAGCAAAGAAATTACTTCCTGAAGAAGGACCTCATCCAAACACATTAGTAATGCATAATTTCCAAGAATTGTACAAGGTGAACAAAAGCCTTTCACTGACTGCCACTCCTCAGGATGGAAAGAAAGAGACTGCAATCTTTGGGAAACTGTCCAGTAGTTTTGATTTGGTTCCTCCACCCGAAAAGTGCCCTATGGAATCTTTAACTCGTTTGAAGTCTTATTTTTCAGATCCTAGTGGTTATACTTTGGAAGTATCTGCTGCTTTGGATTTGTTAGCAGAACATCCTCCATCTCCTTATATTTCAGATGGAATTTGTGATGCTGGATTTTCTTTAGTTATGACTCCAGATCCTGAATTTCTTGATTCAGAGGTAGAAATAAAAAAAAAAACTCAAATGGAAAAAAATTGTGAAGAAATGTTTAAAGCAAAGAAGGCAGCTGTGGTTCCATTGAGTGCAGCGTCAAATCTGAGAGTACAGCCAAAGAGAAAGGCCAGCACTCTGCCCACAGTGCCCAGTAAGAGAGTGAACCTGTGCCGCCCATTTGCCAAAAGAACTACACCTGGAGCAGACAGCGGCTCGTACTCTCCCCCAACTCTAAAGTTAGTTAAAGGACAGTTTCCTCAGAAAAGAAAAAGAGGTAAGTACAATTTATATGGATTATTAAAATAGTAACTGTTGCATTCCAAGCCTGTACCTGTCTGGATTTATGTGGGCTGGAGCACGGCAGACTGTTAGAAGTTTGTTAGAAACACCAGTATGTCTTTCTAGGAGATGTATGTACCTGCCAGAGCTTGAGAAGTACTCACCTAGATAGCTGCTGAAAACTATGAAATATGATAAACTAAGATATCGCAAAAGCCTGCCCACAAAAAGCTTATGTTCCTCTCGTAAAACCTCTCAGACTGTCACGTATTTACATTTCATTCTCAGAAAGATGGTCATCTATTTTTCTGGGCCATCCTGTAACAAATTGAGGTGGAAGAAGGGAATCTTCAAAAAGCAGGCATAGCAGTGTCAGCAAAGGGTGATAGCCGACAGCCTGAACACATATAAAGAGAAAGGAAGTGCCTGTACCTACAACACCAGAGCAGTCTGGGATCAAGTTTCTGTTCGTATGTATCAGAGTTTTTGAAATGATCGCCTGTCTGAAAAGCTGAAGCAGGAGGATTGCAAGTTCCAGCCCAGCCTGGACAACCTAGCGAGACCCTATCTCAAAATATAGAAAAAGGGCTCAGTGCAAAAGCTTAGGCTCAATCCCCAGGACTAAAGACAAAAAGAAAAAAACAAACATAACTGGGTCTTAAGACTAACCTACTGAAATGGAATATAGTCATATATTGAAAAAGTTCCACAGAAGTTTTGATGCCCCTGGAAAGTAACTAAAAGTCAGATTCCAGTCATTAAGTATTTTGACAAATGTACTTTAGCCAGCATGCCACGCCATCATCTCAAATTATATTTAGTGTGTGTTCTCTAAAAGGGCGGGGAACTCAACAGCCAAGGAGCCGCTTAGTCATACCTGTATCACCTTTGACTCCTCTCAGTCTACACTGGCAAAGTTCAGCAGTTGTGATGGAGACCACCAGATGGCTTCAAAGCTGAATATGTACTTTCTGGCCCTTCACAGAATGTTTGCCAACCCATCTATGCTGTCTTGCATCAGAAAGTGCTAGTCTCTAAAGAAGAAACATGTAGGATATGCTGATGCACAGGATTCTGAATAATGGAGATTTTACCCCATGTTTTAGCAAATAATTTCTGCCCTGCTGTGGTTTGAGAAATGGTGTGGTGTATGTGTGTTTGTGAGGTTGGTGGAAAGTTTGACAATATAAAGCATGGAATCAGGCTGTACAACTGTTTGTAAGCATATTCCAGGCCAACCACACTGAGCAGCTATTCTGTGCATGCCAGTTTACTTCAGGGCATTTAAATTATCTCTAATTCAGCATGCATTCTTACTGTTTTCCAAATGTTTTAAATTACTATCTATTCATTATATTTGATATTATACTCTAGTATCCATAAAGTCATACTTGACTGAAACAAATTTCAAAGAGCTTTCACTATGTGTAATACAATCTGATGTATTCTGTTCTTTTTAAATTAAGAAAGAATTTTGGTTGTGAGACATTTAATTTGTTTTACAACCCCACCCCACACTGGATTATTACATGATTGAGAAAGATGGCATTTGGTAATACATCTAAACTACTACCCACCTCCCAACCCTCTCAGCTTAGGGCCTTGGTTTAGGAGCGATCTTCCTCATAGGTTTTGGTTCTGTAATTTTACTTTCTTTTTTTTTTTTTTTTTGGGTTTTCTCCGGTACTGGGAACCGAACTCACGACCTTGCGCTTGCCAGGCAGGCGCTTTTGCCGCTGAGCTAAATCCCCAGCCCCAATTTTACTTTCTTTTTCTTTTAATTTAGTCTTAACCATTTTTCCTGCTTGTATTTTTACCTTTTCCCTATGCTGAAGATTTTAGAAAATGTAACTGGAGTGTAATGAGAAGTCTTATACCTTTAACTCCAATGTGCTGCATTATTTATGGTAATTTCACAGGGAAGAAAATAGAGCTAGAGAAATCTGTAACATTAAGAGATTCTGAAAGCTTTCTTTAAAACTATTCCTTTCTTTAACCCCCTCAAAAGAATGAAATGAAATGTGTCTCTTTTCCTACAGATCTCTGACACTTACCAATATCTTATGCTTAAGATAACTTTAATATCATATTTAGTGTTCAGAATGAGAAATAGTGTTTTTTGTGTAACTTAAAATATTTGCTAGTATTCATATGTAATTATATACGTTTGGGGCCAAATTGTATTGGTGGAAACAACTGAATTTATGAAAAGCCAATGGGAAAAAAATTAATGTTTAACTCAAAAAATTGACATGTTATTATGTAGTATTAAGCTAGTGAATTTTTTTTTCCTTCCTGCCTACATCTGGCTTTAGCTATTTTCTTAATTCCATGTAAGAATCAAAGCAAGTCATCTTGTAAGAGTGGTGATTTCTTTTTTGTGGGGTGGTCAATTTGTAGCAAATAAAATCAGGTGCAGACTCCTCAGTCTTTGAAATTCTTTTTTTTTTTTTTAAGTTTATTTTGCAGTTGGCATTACAGTTGAGATTTTAATGAGGAGTACAATATGACTCCGTGAGCATACAATCTCCTCTCTATAGGGTGATTATAGTTTTAACCAGTTTTACCTGTGACATCAGTCAGAAAAGATTTTACAGAATTTTTAAAACTTAGGTTATGGTTTTTATATCACCCTGGTATTTTTCGTCACCTGAGAAAGCTAAAGGCAGACTCTTAGCAAGTTCCTATATTTATATTTATGTGAGAACATTTAACTCCTTATTTTAAAAAAACAAAAAAACGAAGTCTCACTGTGCAGTTCAAGCTGGCCTTGAACTCATTTTGTAGCCCAGGCTGGCCTTGAATTCGCAGTAGTCCTCCTGCATCAGCCTACTAAGTGCTAGGATTACAGGCATGTACCACCACACCCAACCCTAACTTGTTTGCCTTTTTTAAAAAAAAAAAAAATCTTTTAGTAATACCAAAAAATTTATAGTTTATTCTCCATTACACAGTTGCCCCCCATCCAAAGGAAAAGAAATAAAGAGAAAAACTATGGTGAAAACTATCTGGGCCCCTACACCTTAAAAAATGGTGTCTTTTTCTACATAAGGTGCGGAAGTGCTGACTGCACAGTTTGTACAGAAAACCAAATTGAATAGGAAAAACCAAGAAGTTCCTATTTCTAAAGATGTTCCAGTGGCAACAAATGCTAAAAGGGCAAGGAGACAAGAGAAATCTCCAGTCAAAACTGTTCCAAGGGCTAAGCCACCTCTGAAGAAATCTCCACAAAAGCGGAGAGTAAATGTAGTAAAAGGCATTGAGAATCCCAGAATCCGAAAGCAGCTACAACCTGGTAAGAAACACGTTCCTGTAAATGTAAACGCTGAAATACAGATCTGATGGAGCTTGCAAGGTGTATTTTGAAATGGACTATAAGAGCAGTTGGAATTTATCAGTAATTCATTGTATTCTTTCGTTCAGATCCTGACATAAATAACTTGATTTCCTATTGCAAACAAGGAGGAACGTGGAAAGACTAACTTTCACAGAATAGACCCTACTTTTTAATTTGTATAAAGCCTAAAGGTGAATTTTTTTAAAGAGTTAATAGTATGAAAGGCTGTATTTATGAGTAAGTGCATCAGCGCGTAGCATCAGGCAGTATTTGTCTGAATCATAGTTACAAAAAATAGAAGGTATGGGAGCCAGGGATACAGCTCAGCGGCACAGCACCTGCCTGGCAAGTGCAAGGTCCTGAGTTCAGTTCCCAGTACCAAAAAAAAGTAAAAGGCAGTTAGTCTGTCTTGAAATTGTAAACAAATTGCTCAGAACCGTCAGTAATCCAGAATCCTGTATATGGCTTAAAAGCTATTTTAAAAAATTATTTTACATTTCTGATTTTAAGTAAATAGTAAATTTTAATGCTGTAAACAAAACACTGACTACTATACTGCTGTCTCTCCAGCTGTTAGACATAACTTCTTTTCTAAAAAGTTCTGTGCTCACCTCACACTTCACCTTTGTGCCACTGAATGCACACTCCCTCTGCTCCTGGGTCTCGGTCCACTTCCTGCCTCCTCTTCTGTATATGGTGCGATTCTTCTTCCAGATTACAAAGTATGAATGACACCCTTCCTGTGGTGTTGAGTCCCGTTGTTGTCTGTGTGTTATTTCGTTTTGTTTTTTGTTTTACAAAGAGACTTCATTCCCTCATTTTTTTATATTTCTGTGAGTTTTCTGTCTAATTTCCCTGATTCTGCTTTTTCCCTCATCTATATCATAGACAGTAGGGATTTAGAGAAACTGTTTTGTTGGTGTGCTGGAATTACGGATGAACTTGTTTTTGTATCTCAAATTCCTTTAATGTTTTATGACGGAAGACTTTCTTAGAAGCTCATCACATTACTCTAAAGCTCATGGTGGTACAGTTTTTGCTTCCATACTAAATTTGAAGTCTGTCCAGCCTTCTGGGGAGGATTTATGACTTGATCTTACCTTATGTGTCCATAGATAGCACTTACTACTTTCCCAAGGTGTTTCTTTCCATTTGATCAGTTTATCTGCTCCAGGTACAGTGTTATTGAGAGCTCTTCTTGGTCCACATCACGGTCCAGGAAGTTTATATTTGTAATCCCATGGAAAAGTTATCGAAAAAAAAAAAAAAAAATTGGAACTCAAGCAAGTTAATGCCAGTCTACCACTTCCAGTGCAGTGCATGGCGAGAATAAAGACACCAAGGCATACTTGTAGCTGTGGGAGGCCAAGGGCATCCTAAATGCAACTGGGATGATGGCTAACTGAAACAAAGGCCTCGACCCAGGGCCAAACCCAGTTTTTATTCATTCATGAAGAAGGGAGTGGCTTGAGGATGAGTGACTGTGAGAGTGGCAGGAAGTATGTGGGTGCCATGAGCTGGGCTAGGTAGGAGGCCTGAAATCACCTCTGCAGTATAGAGAGAAGGCTATGCAGAAAGCGTAATCTGCGTGACCCAGCTGAGATAGTATCTAATGTTTTGCGCTCAGTGCTTCAGCTCTGATGTGTTATCTTTTATGCCCTGGGAAGTCATAGCTGGATCCCAGTGGACAGCGTGGAGCTGGGGCGTGGCTCTCCCTCCGGCCCTGCTCACGCATATTTTTTGGGAGCCATGGTGTGGGACAACGTTGACCTGTCCTTCAAAGACTGCATGTCAGCATCTTGGCTGGACTGATTTTTATTGCTTAAAGCCAGCTCTGTACACATCAATACATGGAAGTAGGGCCAGGCTCAGCCCAGATGGAGATAATTGCTCTTCTTTCAAGGCGAGTCATGCAGGTGTCCTCCACACAGTGTAACATATTTTTACTCTGATGTAATTTTTCTTTGTACTAATTAGCTTTTAATATTGATTGACAAATTTATTGAGAACTGTGCCCAGATAAACTGTGCCCATTGAGAAAAATGAGTCCAGAACATTACATGTACCACAGTGATACAGGTCATTCGATGGGGCAGTCATGCATGTATGGCCCCACCTGGAACATGTTAAGACAGATGGAATGTGGTCTTGCTGGCCTTAATTTGAAAAGTACTGACTAAAAGATTTTGAGTTTTGATTATTAGAATCAAACGAGAATTTAAAGTCAGTTTTATTTGACTAAAACTAATAACTTTCTGTTTGAAAGTTGGTGATAAAGTTTTTTGTTCACTGAATTTTTTATACTTTTATAGAATTCATTTGGTATTGTCTTACCTGTCTTAGTGTATCAGTGTTATATTTTTTATTGTCTATTACAAGTCAAAAATTATTTACGTAAGACTACATATTTATTAAACTAGCATTCTTCCTCACTTAAGTACAATATATTTCTTAGTTGACTTCACTTACATGTTTACCCGTAAGTATATAGAAGCCATAGTGTTAACAGAGATAGGGTGAAATTAGTATCAGCAAACATGTACCGTAAAATAAATTACGTGTTTCTCTTGGGCATGGTGGTACAACCTGTAATCCCAGCACTTGGGAGGCTGAGTGAGGAAGATCTTAGTTCAGGGCTTTTCTGGACTGCATAATGAGTACAAGGGCAGTATTAACTACACAGCAAGAGCTTGTCTCAAAATTGAAGCCAGTTGTTGATTCTTTGAAGTGTTTCCCATGCAGTTTGGTTTTTGTTCATGAACTCTCTGCCTACCCCTTTGTCTTCAGGATTTGATCCTACTTTCTCTTCCAGTAGATTTAGTGTTTCTGTTCTAATATTTAGCTATTTGATCCATTTTGACTTTATCCTATTAAAACGCTTTTGTACATCAAAAGAAATCACTAATACAGTGAAAAGACAACCCACAGAGTGGGAAAAAACTTTAGCTAGCTGTCTCTCAGACAAAAGACTTACATCTAGAAGGTATAAAGACTGCAAAAAATCAGACTCCCCAAATTCAAAGACCCAATCCAAAAATGGGCATCTGAGATGAAGAAATACAAATGGCAAATAAATACATGAAAAAATGTTCAACATCATTGGTCATTCGAGAGATGCAAATAAAAGCAACACTGAGATTTCATCTCAGCACAGTAGAATGGCTGTCATCAAGAAATCAACCAATAACAAATGCTGGAGGGGCTGTGGGGAGAAAGGAACCCTTCTCCACTGTTGGTGGCAATGTAGACTGGTGCAACCACTTTCGAAATCAGTCTGGAGATTCCTTAAAAAATTAGGGTTAGAGATCCTGTTTAACCCAGCTACTCCCCTTCTGGGTATTTTCCCAAGAAGAATTAAAAACATCATACTACAGCGATGTATGTGCATCTATGTGTACAGCAGCACAATTTGTCATAGCAAAATCTTGGAAACAACCTAACTGCCCATCAACTGAGGAATGGATGAAAAAGATGTGATCTTTTTATACAATGGAGTACTACTCAGCTATAAAGAAGGATAAACTTGAGACATTTGTAGGGATATGGATACAACTTGAGTCCATAATTACAAGTGAAATAAATCAAATCTCTCATGTATAAACATCGTATTGTCTCCCTAGTGTAAGAAACTGAAAGAGTAAATAAGATCCAAAATGTACAGTAGATATTGCAAAATGGGAAGAAAATGCTCAAAAGGAAAGAGGAAACTGGAATGGGAGAAAGGAGAAAAGAAGGAAGGGAAAATGAATTAGCTTATTGTAAGGAAAGGTTTATGCCTATATTGCTTTGATCAATTTTTCCTGCCTATACTTGTAATATGAGCAACTACTTTGAAGATAAAAACATGCAGTGTGCTAGCCATTGTCCTCTCCTACAGTCTTGTATTGAAATTTTATACCATTGTTTTTGTTTTTATTTTTACTTTCTTTAAAATAAAAAAAAATTGAAACCAAAACAAAACAGAAAATATTAAGGGTTGAGAATGTACCTCAGTGGTAGAGCGTTTGCCTAGGATGCCCCAGGTTCTGGATTTGATCCCCACTATTGGGCGGGTGGTGAAGGAGGTGTTTCCAGTATACCCATGGGGCTGATGAGGCTGTTGTCTCTGCTTTAAGCTTCTTCTTACCACAAGCCCCTTTGGATTTTGCTGTTTTCAATAAACACTGGACAGTGCTGGATTAATTTTACGCTCCCACACACACCGTTTTCATTCTAGTGATGACATAATAGGTTAGAGTTTTCTTCTTTTCTTTAAATGTATTAGTTATTGGCCTTTGCAAGTAGGTTGTCAATTCATTTCAGACTTAATACAAATAATTGTAGAGAGGAACACGGTTGACTTTTCTGTCTGTCCATTCACTTGCAACAGGGAATCATTGCCTAGTATAATTGTGAACCTTATCCCTAATAATAATAGCATTTAAGGAGAATTAATGAGCCTGTAATTCTAGCACTTGGGAGGCTGAGGCAGGAGTATTATTGTGAGTTCAAAGCCAGCCCTTGGAACTCAGTATGTTTTTTGACCATGTCTCAAAAAACAAAAAAAAAATGGGTAATGAAATGTTCTGAGAATAGGTAAGCAAATCACTGGAGAATGTAAATTTTCTGATTAAGGACAAATTGAAAGATTTAATTATCTACAAAAAGATAACCAGATTTGCTCTTTGTGGATAGAGTAAAAGGGTAATATATTAATTACTGAAAGGAATGTTTTAAACGATGATAACATTAACTAGTAATTCTGGATATTCATGACTCCTAATTTTTTGTATCCTTACAGATTATAATTTAAGCTCAATATAGTCAGTCTGTTTTGAACCTAGGTGGTTTTTCTTATCACTTGTTAGAGGAAGTGGTTTCTGAGAAAATATGTTAGCTAATACATACATACTTCCAACTAACTACCACATTCCTATGTCTTCACTAGATTGTAAGCTCCCTGAGGGCAAGACTCTCTCAATTTCCTTTGATTATTTTTCCCTCTATATATGTTTATTGGCTTAATAGTATGCCTTGTGTATAGTTCAATACATGCATTTTGAATGGTGACATCTTTTTAAATTAGTGTATAAGTCCTCAAGATTTGTTCCTCCATCAGTATTTTATAATATATGTATCTGAGGATTGAGAGACACCTCAATCTGTTAATAAAATTCCTAATATATAATCTGTGTAACATATCAAGAGATATTTCTTGACTATGTAACTGTCAATTTTCACTAAGATGTAATATGAAAGAGAATTAATTGTATGACTAGTGTTATATCTTCTCATCTTTTCTTTTCTACTGAAGCCAAAGAAGAAACTGCTTTACAGCTTCAATCAGAAATTTCATCAGATGGTCAAAAAGATGGAATTAGCATAAGTACAGCTCAACCACAAAGTACCACAGTGGCTCAAAAAGATCTTCCTGAAAACGCCATTGTCAACTATGACTCCCAGGCCTTAAATATGTTAGCTGATCTAGCATTAAGCTCTGCTGCCTCTTCCAAACCATTATGTGAGGCTAGAGACCTTCCCTGCTCCTCTGAATTGCCAGAAAATGATGTTTTACTCTCCAAAGAAAGTTCACCAAGTGGTACTTCTGACCATGAATATCATAGGGGAGTTAAAAGTCAAAAAGGTGTACTATTACCTAGATCATCCTGTGATCAGAAGAATAATTCAGGGTCAGACTTAACTGTTAGCCAAGAAGAAGAGAACTTAGTTCCTTACAGTCAGACATCTGCTACTGCCCAGTCAGCACTCCATAAGCAAACATTCGAACCTCCAGGTGCAAGCCAATACACTCTTATTATTGTGGAACATTCATATGCCCTACTGCTTGGAGAACATTCAAAGAAACATCTACAGCAGAGAGGGTTGCCAGGCCCGGCTTTTGCCAAGAATGGAACAAAAGGCCCTGACACCGGAACTCCAGTGGGAAAAGTCATGCCATTTCGACATCTGCAGAACACCTCTCCTCTACAAAAGCTTTCTGAGGATTCATGGGTAAAGCGCAGAGGTCGATTTGTATCTTCCAACCTGAAAAATGTTTTTTGCTCCCATACCGTAGTTAGCTGTGACGGGTCTGTTAAGGTCACTTTCAAATGTGAAACAGAATATGCATTCAACTTAGATTCCAGATACACAAACAATCCACTGGAGAAAACTGTTGTAAGAGCACTGCACGGGTAAGTAGGAGTGAAACTTGATGAAAGTGGATGTAGTTTTTCTGTTGAGATTAACATAGTAAGATGGGAAACTTGTGCCAGACTTTGGGGAAGGAGAAAGAAGTGTTGTGTATAAAACTAGTAATTGAATATTAATATCAACAAATTGTTTATTGACAATTGAGAATAACAGGTTTTGTCACACCAGTGATAAGTGGAGAGCTTTTTAAAGATAACTTTAGTCTTACAAAAGGCTTTCCATTTTTACAATGCTTTTTCAGCAACACTCATAGTCTTTTAATTATGTTTAGTTGATATCTCAGTGTAAAATGGCATGGCAGTGATTCTTTATTTTATGTATTTAATTCTAAGACTGAATTCTAGGAGAAACATTTAAAAATTGCTTCTAGCTTATTAAATTGATCAGATTGATAGGAGAGAATGGTTTTACAGAAAGTTGTTGTATAAGTCTTCCATAGGAAGAGATTGAGGCTAGCCAGGCGTGGTGGTGCATGCCTATAAGCTCAGCACTTGGGATACTGAGGCAGTACAATTGCCAAGAGTTCACAGCTAGCCTGAACTACAGATGAGACCCTGTCTCAAAAAAGCAGAGAGAGAAATTAAAGTTCAGGCAGTAACAGCAGAATGGTTAATATCACAGACTTTAGTGTTTAGACTAATCTAGGCAGTCTAGTCTAGCTTGTAAATTCTCCCGTCTCATCACGTCTTACGACCCTGGACAGGTTACGTACATCTAATAATGGCTTCTCAATCTTTACTATGTGTACAGCTTTTCTAGGGAACTCATTAAAACTGATGCAATTAGTCTGAAGTGAGCTCTGATTCCACCTTTCTAACAAATTCCCACGTGATGTCAGTGGAGGATGACAGTCTGTGGGTAATATCTTTTAAGTATGGATTTACATCCTGAGGGTTTTACCGTCTTAGGCCTTTTTACAGTGACTGGTCCATTGTAATAAACAGGAACCATCACTGTTAGCAAGAAGCATTAGCATGATGGCATTGTGGAGTGATATTTAGTTACCTGCTGTGAACTGTTTCACATGTGAGGAATGGACTTTGCAGGTCTTTGCAGGCTTCTTTCTTATACATGTTCATATATTCTTAGTTTCGCATGTACACAGGTGCATTGTTATTTCCTTAGCCTTAATCCTTAACTGTAGCTTAGCCTGCACTCAACCCACTTCGGCTATCTTCTATACTTTTATCTGTCAGAGGCCATTATGGGATCTCCCACTATGGTTTTAAGATATTATTGAGGACTGTAATCTGAAAATAGTGTAATTCTGCTCAATTGCATAGAGAAATATTATACTCTGTAAGACTTCTCCAACTATTAGAAGAGAGACACAAAAATAATGAAAAGACAAATGAGCTAGCTATAGTCACCAAAATAAAAGTGACGAGGATTTGGGTAGTTAATGACACTGTTATTCGTACACTAGTGTACTGTCTCCAAAGAGTTGGTAAGCAGAAAAGAATGGTAGACTAGGCATCAGGAGAGTGACATTCGGATCAGTTTTATCATACAGGTTTTGTGATTTGAAAAAGAAGCCGTGTAAGTGTTTTGATTCTTGGTTCCCTTCTCTTTAAAAGGGCTGGGTTAAAATATTGAGTGGATGGAATGGGTTAGACTTCATAATTATTTATTACACCATCTTACTCATTGTCTCATATCTGTAATATTTAAAATAAAAATGAATACCAAAACTAGTTCATAAGGTAGCATTTGTTTGTAATTACCAACTAAAATAACCATTTTAACTTTTGTGTGTACTTTAAAATTTCAGGCCCTGGAACATTAATTTGCCTGAAAAGATGGAAGAAACAAAACTTCTTCTTCATATGTGGGTAGCTCTGTTTCACAGAAATGAGAACAAAGTCATACAGTCATCCCGAAAAGTGGTAGAACATAGCAACCCAGCGAAATATGTGTCTCTGAATAGCACATTAGAGTGTTTTGAACTCAGTGAAATTGAGGAATCCTCCAGTGTGGAAAAATGTTCGGTAGAACCTCTGTTGGAGACTAACGGAATGCCCAGGGGTCACGCAGACGGAGTGTCCTTCCGGGGCCCTGACTGCCTGCTGCCTCTCCTTAAACTGCCGTCTTCCAGAGAGGCGGAACTGTGTGTGCAGGGTGAACAGAAGGAAACCTTTGCAACAGAGTGTCACGCAGATACCTCAGAGAGTCACAACTTCGCCTATTCTTGTAATAATGAGGTATGATTGAATACTGTAAATGCTAGCATTATTTTTGAAGAAATTTCCTTTTTTTAAATGTAAAAATCACATTTGAAGTTAAAACATTTGTTTTATGGTAAGAAAGTGAACTCTACAGCGAAAGGATTTTCATGGCAAAAGTTTAGTTTTCATAAAAGTGTGTTGTTCTGATTGTCCACAGGTACTTTATCTGCCATCCTAACTGAAAAAGGAGGAGTAGAAAATGGTCACAGGGCTCAGGTGATCTGGGAGCCCACCGTGATGGTTTTGTTTTTGTGGTGCTGAGGATTCCTTTGCACAAAACTAACTCCTCAGCTTTTTTTTTCTTTTTGTTTTTAATTTTGAGACAGGGTCTCATTAAGTTGCCTAGGCTGGGCTCAAACTTGCAGTCAGTGCTGGTGCTACAGGCTGACACCACCTCACCCAACTGAAGCAGAAATGTTTTTCACAGGAGATTTGACATATGTTCTAGACATTGTAGAGATATGGTAAATTGTGTGATTACCATTTTACCATATTCTAGACAAGACAGTCTGGAAGTTTTAAACAAAGCAAAACAGTCTTTTTATCAGATTATCATGTTGTCTTGAGGTAGTTCTGCTAATATTTAAACTAAGTTCTACTGTCTGCTATTTAAGTTCTTTTAGTTTAATTTATGATTGCAAACCATATTGATAAATTTTCTGTTGCTCTATGGAGTAAGGGTTACTAAAGTGAGAATTATTTCAGTTTTAAAACAGAAGATAGATAAGAGGTGAGGGACCTTTATTTATTAGAATCAGTTATTTAATTAATTTACTCTGTCTCCATTGTACTCATAATAATTGAAAACTGTATTTTAAAAAGAAAAAGAAAACTGATGTTTAAAAAAAAGTTATTCTTGGATTTCAGTTATTTTGTAGTCTTACTAGCAAATTGAGTACCATTATTCTAGCGCTACATTTCTGAATTGAATGACACTATTTAGCAAAGATGCTGCATTTCAGGTCTTTAGTTGTCAGTGGTTTAGCCACTTTTTTTTCAAAAAGGATCATTTTAAAAAATAGGCTGTCACTGGCTGTGGTAATGCATGCCTGTAATCCCACCACTTGGGAGACTGAGGCAGGAGGATTACAGGAGTCTGAGGCCAGCCTGAATTACATAATGAGACCTGAACCAGATAGTGAAACTACATATTCAGACAAACAGACAGCCCCAAAAAATAGGCTGTGAAATTAAAGTTTTGACTCTCTAATCTGTATATACTTTTTTTTTTTTTTTTTGGAGAAGCCTTCTGCCTCAGTCTCCCGAACACTGGGATTACAGGTGTGCCCTACCACACCAGACTTCTAATCTGTTTATACTCCCACAGAAGAAAAGTTGCAGGTTGGGTTTGCAGCTTAGTGATAGAGTGCTTGCTTAGCATATGCAAGCCCCTGAGTTAATACCTCAAAACAAAAAGCAGTTTGCTTCATCTCTACCCTGTGATATTCTTACAGAGTAGAAGATTCAAAAGAACAAACACACACTAAAATTGGTCCTTTAGTGTCTTTTCTGCTCTTACGATCTCCTTGACTCATATTTTTTGTTTGGTTTTATTTTGTTTACTTTTCTCATTTCAGGTAATTGGAGGGAAAGCTAAACAAGAATCTACAGATAAACTAGAAGCTTCTAATCTTGTGCTTTCTGTTACTGGAAATACTCAAACTAATGAACCTTCTATTTCTGATAAAGATAAAACCTTTCAGTCACTTGATAGCAAAAGAATGGTTTCTCGTAATAACACTGGCACACAAGCCACATTCACCAGGACTTACGATGAGCCCAATAGTCAGTCAGAGATGTGTGGAAGGTCTGTTCACAGCCCTCTTGAAAGCACAGTGGATACTTTGCATACAGCAGTGCAGACAAACACAAGTGCTTTAAAGGACCTTATCCAGCATAGCAACCCTATGCACAGTGAATTCCAGTCCTCCTTGGAAAGGACAGATGATAATATGGAATATATGATGATTAATCTAGAACCAGTTACATTCACTTTGGAAAAGAATGCTAGTACACCAGTACACACAGAAGTAAGGAGAGCTGAGAAACTTACGGCCTTTAGTAGTGAATCGATTAAGCAAGTGTCGCCTGCTGCAAATGTTAGACATCCCATATCTGCATCGGAAGAGGCACAGACTGAAGGTGTTAGGGACATTCCATCTCTAGCAGTATCAGGACAGAAGAGCACTAAGTACCTTTCTGCCTTTTCAGGAAAAAGAGAGACGCTTGATGAAGAACTGTGCTCTTTACGGAAAGAGATGCCTCTTCGCATCTCATCACCATCACCTGATAAAGCATTGATAATGGAGGCACTGTCATTAGTTAAACGTTCTAGTTATCCGTTACCCAGTGCAGAAATGAAGCACTCTCAAGAAGTCTGTCTGCAGACTCAGAATCTCTTTAGCATATCTTCAGAAGAGATAATAGAACCATCGCAGGTTGAAGTAGTCTCACCGTCAGCCTGTGCCTCTTTGGGAAAAAGGTATTCCCATGATTGTATCCCGTCAAAAAGTAATGTATCGGGTGACTCTCTAGAACCAAGGAAGAATGACAAGAGTAGTTTAAGCTGTGCAAATGTGAATTTGGAATCATTTAGTTCAGTATTTGCTGAACAAACCAATTTGCCTATGAATGGGCAGGAGGTTGGCTTGGAGTTACAAGAGGAAAATTCTGATATTGACCTAACTCTAACAATATCCCCACCTACAAGTCCCAGCGGAAAAGTGCCAACCAATGAAACAGAGCAACTTCAGGAAGCTCCAGGGTCAAATCTAGAACTTCAGGATGTAGCTAAAGAAATAGTTGAGCCAGAAGAGATGACCCTCATAGAAAAGAGAGACATGAATTCAGCTAGTTCTATGTCAGCTTACTCTACAGTGTCAAAAGAACCACTTGAAGACAAGGAGAGAAAAGGTGATAGTTTACAGCCAATTACTTTAATACTTTCTAAACACAATTGTACCTTTGAGATTGGGGAGGAAATCAATGTTACTTCTGACTTTCCCTTTAATTCTTTAATTGAAGAAGTGTCACCAGCTTCTAGTCCTGATCCCCTAGTACCAATGGAAGAAACATGGTCATCTCAGGCTGTGTCTCCAAGTAGTTTAAAACTTCACGGTACACAATGTGAGAAAAGTAAATTCTCCAAGGTTGAGTCAGAAGACTTAGCTGTAACAGAAAAACAAAATTCTTTCATTGGTCCTACCCCTCTAGTGGGACAAGAGAACTTAACCCAACTACAGCAAATTCAGCTCTCTGCTAATGTACCTCTAATGCTAACTAATCCAGGAACAAAAGGTACACTAATGCTTCCTGGTAAAACAACTGAGGAAATTGCCCCAAGTGAGCATGGTGAAGGTTTGTCTTTCTCAGATAAGGTGCAGTGCTGTGATCCAGAGTTAAACAACCCTGCTGTAGTTGCCAATTATGGAAATAACATCAAGCCTTCTCTTGAAAAACTGGTCAAAGCAGGAAATCCATTGCATCCGGTTTGTATAGAGAATAAAAATTTGGGCTTAGAACATCCTGTCTTAGAGTCAAACAAACCCCCATTTAGTTGTAGAAAGACTATTGAAAATAAATCTTTGGCCGACACATTAGTTCCCACAACTGCTCTAAGTGGGATAGGGAATATACCATTAAAAGAGCAGGGCAGCCCTGAAAGCACTAAGGAAAATCTCTGTGATGGTGACTTGAAAACAGATGGTGGCAGTAACATGCAGGGCAAGCTTATGAACTCTGCCTCCATTGCTGAAACGGATGTTACGCAGGCATACCTGCGCCCAGAGATCCCAGGGTTTGGTTCGGCCTCAGATAGAGCTACATTCACCCAGTGTGCAAGACCAGAAAGTGAAGAGCCGGGGTTTCAGACACACGAGATATCAGTCATCAGAATGGCCAGTCTGCTTGGGAGTAGTAGAACTGAAGCTGAATTACATGAAAATGGTACAGATCGGGGGGCCGTCAGCCTTCAGTCTAACTCCACACCTTCTGCAAAAGGTGAACAAGAAGCAGTCTACACACTACCGGGTACATCAGTATGTGAAATAAAAGAGTTGTTGAATGGCGAGTTTTTGCCGACAGATGTATGTTCTTACAAAAATACCATCCACACCAGTGAAAGCATCAGTGAAGAACCTTCTGCCTTTGTTCCAGAATCTGTTGAAACTGTCGTTTATGGAGTTTCTGAAGAGCACATTGACAGGAAGACCGCTACTCGGGGCCACAGGGATGAGGTGGATTCTGCAATCCTGGGCAGAAATACAGGTGTGAGTAGGAATTCTGACATGCACTATGAACCACTTTCTGGAGATTCTGATGAAGACTCGCTCGATAATTGTAGAAATCCCAGATTGGATATGGAGAATTCCAGCATTTTGAGTAGTAGTTATACTAGCAAAGATGAACATGCTGCAGAAGATGGCTATGACTCTCTCAGGAGCTTAAACAACAGTGATAATGAAGCTTATGACTATTCGAATGACATTCAAGAGATGGAGATCAGCATCCCTCCCAGAAACTGGGCCCCTGGACTAGAGAAAGCAGCTAAATGTGTGCCACATTATGTCCAAATCCGAGACCTCCACGGTATCCCCAGGAACTATGCCAACTTTACTGTAACGAGAGAATTCAAAGACACTACAAGAACTTTGCATAGGGTAACAAGGCACCCGAGTTGCACTGTAAACTGTGGCCTGCTCAGCTCCTGGACCAGCACTTGGCAGGTGACAGATGACCTCACACAGAACACGTTGGACCTGGAATATCTGCGTTTTACACATAAAATAAAACAAGTGGTGAAGGGAGGTTGTCGACAGCCTGACCCACTGCTGCACATTTCATTGAGAGATTTCCCTTTGACAGAAGTGTCTGAGCCCCTAGTTTTGCATCCTACATGCAGGAGCAGAAGCCCCATTCTGGTAACAGTTTTGCATTCGGACGCCAGTTTCGCCAGACAGCAGAGTCAGCACAGAAGTGGCCGTTCACTCAGTGATGTGGACAGCTCTTCCTCGTTTTGGAAGGAAAGATGTAGTCACAGTAGGAATCTTACAGATGCTCACAGAAATCAGGCTGTTTCATTCCACCTCAACAAACTGAGGTACAACAGTACTTTGAAGGAATCTCGGAATGATATTTCACTTATTCTTAATGAATATGCTGAGTTCAATAAGGTGGTGATGAACAGCAGCCATGATGATTTCCAGGATAAACGGTTAAACAGGGCTTCTGAAGAAGCCGTAGCCCCAGAGATGTATCCATCCTTGCCAAGACAGTCCACCTCCTATGAAGACGTAATTACAGACTTGTGTGCCAGCTTGCATACCAAGCTAAATAGTGTTCTGAAAGAGGCTTGTAAGAGTCCCTTCTTCTTCTACCTTGTTGAAACAGAAGACAACCCATTCTTTTCAAGAACAAAGGTAAAGTGCCAGCTTATTACATTTTATGTTATCTTGATTGCCTTCTAATTATAGTTGACTTTAGAAGTAATAAAAGCAGTTTGGGCTTTAAAATGAAATGGTAAGAGGCGGTATTTAGGTTTCACAGCTCAATCTTTAACTGCATCCCGAGTTTTTTCTATAAGGATCCCCATTTTTACTATATTTGAATATTTACATGACATTCCAGAATAAGTGCAACAACTATCACAAAAATTTACCAGTGTAGACATGCTTGTAATCAAGTATAAATATACATACGTTTCCAGTACTAATATACAGATTGTTTTTCAAAAATTATCTGTGTTCCTGTAGTAGTATGGATCATTGAGAGGGATTTCATTTGGCTAAGGATGTATTATTTTATTTTTGATTATTAGAACAACTGATATTCTTGTGAGTATATACATGATTCTTAAACTTAAGTGATATAATCATGGTGAAATCCTGACTTTGAAGAAGCCAAAATCTCTTTTTGATGTACCACTAGCTTTTTCATGTTACCTTCTCCTTTTACTAGATTCCTCTATTTGAGGGACAACACTTTATTTAAAATAACTTCAAATTTATATAAAGGTTGCAGAAATAGTACCCCTTACCTAAATACCTTAATGTTAACATTTCTGAACCATTTGTAAAGTGTGCACCTCCTCTGTACAGGATACTCTTCTGTGTAATCCCAGTGCAACCGTAAATATCAGGAAGTTAACATTAATCCGGTATGACCATCTACTCCGCAGATTCCAGTGTGGTCATGTCTTCAATCTGAAATAGTTCCTGTCCCATTACTTTTATGATGATGACGGTTTTCAAGATTGCAAGGCCAGTTATTCTGCACAATTAAATGTAGAGTTTACTAGCAGGAGCTGATTTTAGAGATGAGAAAAGGAGCATGTTAGGAAGAGCCTCGTTAAGGCACATGAACACCTACACTTCATCCTGAAGTCACTGGGAATTCATTGAATACTTGCACAGATGAATAGCAGCACTTTTGCATTTTAGAGCAATCTTTTTTGCAAATGGAAAATTAGGAAAATGGCAGGTAACAGGTCTAATGGGAGTTACTTTTTTTCTTCTATAAAATGTGTACTACTTTGTGTCATTTCAGTATGACATTAAGTGATTTTTTTTCACACTTACGGAATCTGTTCTTTAACATCACTGTCCCCCACATACAACCCTCCTGCCACCAAGTATGCTTTCTTCTCCAAGGCTCCGAATAAATGGCTGCTGGGTTTGGTTTCATCTTGTCCCCACCTCCTCATCTTGGTTCCAGGTTCCTTGGCATTTTGGCAAACAGTGTAGTTGAAAAGATAAAACACTCCCCATCAGTCTTGCTGGAGGTGCTGGGCCTCCAGAAGCAATCTGAAAGTTGATCTGTTTTCTCTCTTAAAGTTAATTTATTAATCACATCTTGTACCCAGTGTGGGAGTGAGTCAGGAATGAGGAGTCACTGAGTTAGCATCAGGAGAACATACCTGTTCTGCCATCGTAAGTAAAATACTTGGTTTCTTTGTTTCCATCTCACAAGCAACAGAAGAGCAAATAATCTTAGTTCTTGCTTCCTTTCCAGAGCAGATGATAGTGAATTTTACAGGGAGATCACAACAGTGCTGTTTTATTTGTAGTAGCTACTTCTAGTTATGCCTGTTTATTTATAACACAGACTTTGTGCACAGTTAAAATTGAACTTCAGGTGACAGAGTGAACACATCCTGAAATATACTTGGCGGTAATATACTATCAAGAGCAAAAAATTTTTAAGAGCTTAGAAACATGTGCTTGGTAATTCTTCTGTAATTCTTCTGACCTGGAGAGTCCTGAAACATAATTAGTGATAGAATACTAGGCCTGTCTATTCATAGGAAAGATAAGTGAGATCTTCAAGGTTCTTTATTACTATTGAAATTACAGTGCACAACTCAGAACGTCACAGGATTTGATGAAAAATTATTCATTCCAGTGGTTTATTAGTAAAACAAGTGACAGCTGAAGATTTATATTTAGATATTCCATTGGGCTCTTTGTTAAAGAAATTTTGTACAAATTTCTTTGAGAATTATGGGATCTGCTGTGATAAGGAGATAGTTAAAATTTGTTGTTTGAGATGCTAGGCAGATAGGTTAATTTTTTTTGAAACATAAAATAAACGATGGTCAGACAATGTTTTGGGTTTGGTTGAGGCTATGGAAACCAAGAATCCTCCAGATAGAACCATGTCAAAGTCACAAGGGAAGGCAGAGTTGAGTTCGTGTATTAATGACACGAGTAGGCATGCCCAGTGAGGCTTCATGTTGGAAAGCTGTTTGCGGTGATGGTAGCAAACTGTCACAGCAGTGCTTAGTAGTGACTTGCAGTTTAAACTGTGTCACCCATCATACTTAAAGATGCAATTTCCAAAGAACGGTTGATTCTCTCCAAAATCAGTCTCCATTAGTGATAAAGGAATGCATAGGTATAATTTTTTTAAAGTTCTAGTAATGTTCTGACTGAAGGTTTTACTTTATTTTTTGTGGTTTTTTTTTTTTTTTTTGAGACAGGGTCTTGCTTTGTAGTGCAGGCTGGCCTCAATAGAGGTAGTATTTTAAATGTAAATATATATGGCATACCCAGAGTATCTCACACCCTTGAAGAAAGTGAAACTCTCATGGATTATTATTATTTTTTTTTTTTTTTAAATCAGGCTTTGGCCGGGGATATAGCTTAGCGGCCCAAGTGCCTGCCTGGCAAGCACAGGTCCTGAGTTTGATTCCTGATACCAAAAACAAAAAAAATCAGCTTTTGATATTTTTTGAACTTTTAAAGATGTGTTGCAAGGGGCTGGGGATTTAGCTCAACGGCACTGCGCCTGCGTGGCAAGCGCGAGGTTGTAAGTTCAATTCCCGGTACCAGGAAAAAAAAAAAAGATGTGTTGCAAACCACATCACTTTTAGAATAAACTTCTGAATCCACTTGTTACTTATAGCTGAGAGTCATTTTTAATGTATAAAACTTAGTAATAAAACAAATTACTATTTATGTTGCCTTGTTAGGCTCTAATTTAGTAAACAGGATATGCTTTTTTGATGGATTGTTTTTAATAAACTATACAAGTTCTGTGCAAGTATCCTCTTTTTAGTACTGGCCACTTGTGAATCTTTCAGAGCATTCTGAGGAAAGGAGGCCATACAGAAATTGAACCTCAGCATTTCTGTCAAGGTTTTTACAGAATGATTGACACTCTAGTAGTCATCATCAGAAACGAAGATATATCATCACATTTGCATCAGGTAAGTTTACAGGTACCCTTTATACAAAGATACACGTTCCAGGCAGTATCAGACTTGTCCCTGCCTCTGTGTAAGGAAGGAGCTTATACATGGGGCACACATTACAGTGCCATTGCACCTTCAGATAGTGATAAGAATCTGCTCATATCGGCTCAGAGGGAACTATGAAAAGAGGTGAGAGGTTCCTAAATTTTCTCACTGGAGATAAATCTGTATCACTCCCTGTCTAACAGTAAGAAATCTTGTTTTGAAACATTGGACTTGTGAGAGTTAGGCACGATGGCAAACACCAATTCCAGCAGTCTGGGAAGCTGAGGCAGAAAGATCGCAGGTCAAGTAGCATGAGCAACTTGGTGACTTAGAGATACCCTATCTCAAAAAATAAAGACTAGGCTTAGTGCAAAGGCCCTGGGTTGAATCCCCAGTAACACACCCACATAAAAAGAACATGTGAAGTTTTTCTTAGTAATTGATAAAATGTAATTGCTTATCCCAAGAAGATCCAGCTTGTGGAGACAGGCTAGGTACATTATTCTGCTGCTGTTGTCAGGCTATGACATGAGCCTGGAGGCAAAGTGATGCTGTTTGTGTCCTGCATGGTTTCTTTACAAGAACCCAAAACCTCGGATGCACTCTTCCCTCATGAATCATTACTTCTAGCCTGTGGGAATTTTTTTCAAATTAATTTTGACATGTTTGTAACCACAGATGATCAACCGAGAAATATTTTATGAATGGCCAGGATACCAGGCAGTAGCCTGGGTTAAAGGTATTTTTAACTGTCTTAAAGCTTCAAAATCCTTGAATGCACCTGTCTTCATGGGGTCCCTTTATGCCTAACAGATTCCTTCACTGCTGAGGCTAAAGCACCTCCCTGGTGTCATCTTTGCCGGTGTCGACGACCCTGAAGATATTCTGAATGACACACACCAAGAGCTGTTTCGCACAGGGGGCTTTGTGGTATCAGATGACAGAATACTAGAAACTATAACATTAGGTTGGTCTTGCATTTTCTGTTCCTTTTTTCATTGCAATCTAGTCAGGTCAGTTTCTCCTCACCCAGTGATCTACTATTTCATCAAAAAGATACAACTTCTAAAGAATATGAGCTACTTGCCAGGCGTGGTTGCACACACCTGTAATCCCAGTACTCCAGTACTCGGGAGGCTGAGGCAGGAGGATCCTTGTGAGTTGGAGACCAGCCTGGGCCACAAAGTGAGCCCAAAGCCAGCCTGAACTGCAGAGCGAGACCCTGTCTCAATAAAAGACAAAAACAAAAACAAGAATATGCTGCATATTCTTGAAAGACAAGAATATACTGCATATTGAAGACTTAGTGCCTGCCAGCTGCTGTACTAAGCATTTATTTCTCCTATATTAGTGCTCTTAACCTCTTTTAACTGCTTATCTTATCTTGATCATCAAACCTGCTTCAAAGTTCCTTCCTTCTCATGGTGGCCGCACGCACATACAGATTTGAGGGGCAGCTTTTTCATATTTAACTCCTTTACTTGCCAAACTAGGTCAGCCACATACTAAATTTTTTGCTTAGAATTAGCTGTTCTCAGGCTGGGAGTATAGCTCTGTAGCACAGTGCCTGCCTGGTAAGCACAGGCCTGAGTTCAATTCCTAGTACCAAAAAAAAAAAAAAAATTAGCTGTTCTCCATTTGCATTGTCTTTATCATCTTGTTGGTATCACAGACATCTAAAAATTTGTTACCAAAAGTCAGTGTTTATTTATCTCCTTGAACATTCTCACAGATTTTACTTCTCTCAGTGTAGGCATTTTTATGTATAATACAAATATGCCCTAACTGTGATCACATTAGAATTCAGTGTGGAAAGCATTTTGGATCAGAAGAATGGTCTACCTTAATCTCCGTGAATTCTCCTTGGAAACTGGGATTTAAAATACTTGTAGATTCTGCATTTAGAAACCTCAGCTATCTTTTCTGCACTGCACTGGACTCCCACTTCGGGTCCATCACACAGCACACGGCTTACCCAGTCACGGCTTAACTACCGGTAACCACCGTGCTCTTACCCCTGCAATTCTCTGACCGTAGTGCGAGCAGGCAGGACTGAGTTGAGGGCTACACATTGTGCCCTGAGAGTTCGTGCTGCCCAGTCACATCTAAGTGGCAGAGGTGGTAATACACTCAACAGCGGGGCTTACTTTTTACAAGTGATTACTGGACTTTGCATCAGCCAGCAAAAACTTAAAACATCTCTTGCTAAACTTACTTCTATAGCTCAGCTAAAGGAAATTGTCAAAATCCTGGAAAAACTAAATGGAAATGGACGGTGGAAGTGGTTGCTTCACTACAGAGAAAATAAAAAACTAAAGAAACACATAAGGTAAGAACTTGGTGTGGGGCTCGGGGTTGAAATTGCTCTCATGCTCCACATGCACTAGGCTGATTTCACTGCCAGTGCTATAGGCAGGTGAGTGATGCTGGCATGGAAGTCACCATTATCACTAAACAGGTCTCTTGGTTAAGTACTGTTTTCTTGTAGCAGGACATCCAAGAAGGAAGCTGTATATTGTAACATAGTTGAGGCAAGCACTTCTCTATAATAATAGAAATCAGTCAAACTTAGGAGCCATAAAAGATTCATATACTTAAGGTTCAGGCTCTATTACCATGAACTATAAAAAAAATATATTGAACTATGGGCCTGATACATTACGGGTCTTCTAATATTTATTCATATATTAAATTGCTGGTTACAAAAAGAATGGAAAAACAAGCTGGAATCTGACCTTAATTCAGTTTTACCCTTAACCATTATCTTTTGTTTTGTTGTTGTTGTTTTTCTTTCGGTACCAGGAATCGAACCCACGACCTTGCGCTTGCCAAGCAGGCGCTGTGCCGCTGAGCTAAATGCCCAGCCCCCAGTTTTACCCTTAAATAAGAGGCTACAAATAGACAGACTTCTTTATATCTAAAGCAGTAACTTTTAAAGGAAGAAAATTTTGATTCCTTGGCCAAAAAGAACTGGGGCTTGTGGGGGTTCCTTCCTACCCAAGGCATGCCTCCAAGTTTGCCCAGGCCAGAGAGTGACTAGGAGAGGAACCTGGGCTCACAGGCAGTCTTGAAAAGGATAAAGATTGGACAAGCCATTAACTGGTGAAAATGCCAGGCACTTTTTTATATTGGTATTTTTTAGATGGTATTTTATATTGGCCATCTCATTCACCTTCATCCCTAGGTGGTAGGTAGTAAATTCTCCTTTCATAATACAGAAGTTGAAGCACCTAGACAACAATAAACTTGACTGTGGTCAGGCTAGTAATTTTGAATCTGGTACTCAACCCCAAAATGTTCCCCGCTAAACACAGTTATTTACCCATTTTACCATATTACTTTCTCCAACAAAGAGAAAATATGTATAGCTAAAACTCTTAAGAGTACTTGTGATTTTCCTTTAAAGGAAGAAAGGAGGGTAAATAGGTACACACCTGTCATCTCAGCAACTCAGAAGGCAGAGGCAGGAGGATGGCCAAGCTTGAGGCTAGCCTGAGCAACTTAGTGAGACCCTGTCTGAAAAATACTTTTAAGTCATATAAGTCAGTGGTAAAAAACAAAATTTTAGGAAAGGCTTTCCCTTGGAGGGTAGTTAACAGAGGAAAAAGACAGTTCTCACTGGTAGGAAAATAAGAATAGAAGGTGTAATGCATAAGCAGGCCAGAAGGTGTGACCAGAAACTCAGAGGAGCAGGCTGGGTGTGGTGCATGCCTGTAGTCCCAACTCGTGGGAGCTGAGGCAGGTGGATAGCCATGAGTTGAGGCCAGCCTGGGCTACATATGAGACCCTGTCTCAAAACTTTAAAAAAAAAAAAAAAAGGATCTTGTTAACCAGTACTTCAGGGAAAATTTCAACTTGTTATAACTAGAGAAGGGCAGCCAAGGGTGGTAATACACACTTGTAATCCCAGCGCTCTCGGAGGCTGAGGCAGAAGTACCACAAATCCCAACCCAGCCTGAACAGCTTAGCGATTCAGCCAGAACCTGTCTCAAAAAAGGGCTAGAGACATAGCTCAGTGCAAAGGGCTTGGGTCCACTGTTACAGTACTACAAAATAAAGACTGGAGAAGTGCATTACACCTCTGAGGTGCACATCATAAGTTAGTATAAATTAATTTAAATTTTATTAGAATTGAGGATGCATTTTCCTACAAAGGAAGAAAAAAAGGTACATTCTAACACGATTTTAAGGGAAGTGAGAAACTAAGAAAATACTGGCTGGTGCCTAAATTTAATGAAGTTGGTGATTATTTGATTATAGGAGTTAAGTATAGATGCTTGTTTTTGGAACCGGGTCTCGCTGTGTATGTAGTTCGGGCTGACTCTGAGCTCACTTACGTAACCTAGGCTGGCCTTGAGTTTACGGCAATTCTGCCTCGGCCTCCCAAGTGCTGGGATATTACATGCATCACCACACCTGGTTGTATAATGTTTTAAAGAAATCCATTGCTAAACAAATATTCAATGCAAAGAAGTCCACTACAAGTCAACAAAGGGTTTGCCAAGCCACATGGTTTTAAGTGACGGTAGGTAAACGTGTGATACCTCTTTGTTTTGGAATAAGCCCCAGTTTTACAATGTGTATTTACAAAAGGGTGATGACAGTGGTAGCATTTTGAAGTAGCTTATTGACAGCACTGTGACACTCAGGAGACAAAGTGTTTCTCAAAAAAACATGAAGAGCGGGCCCTTTTTATGGGCTTGAGTGTTTTAACACAAAATAAAGGCAAGAGAAAGCCCTAGAAATAAATGAAAAGATGTAGATGTTAAGATGTATAAGAAATACATAAATGGGTCACAAAGCTATACTGAATGTGAGTCTGGTTGTTAGCATTCCTGTTTTTCCACAGAATGGATTCAGTTGCTCATAAAAAGAACTTAATATTGAGATCATATCAGAGTGCAAATATCATTGAATTGCTTCCCTATCACCACTGTGACTCTCGGTTGCAAACAAAAGCAGAAATTTTGAAATGTTTGATAAACCTACAAATTCAGCATGTTGATGCCAGATTTGCTGTCTTCCTAACAGGTAAGTTCACAGCCTGAGTTCAGTCATGGAATTCCTACTGTATATGCAAAAGTCCCACAGCTGGCAGGCAAAAACAAACTTAACATGGTGTGTTTTGACAAATGCACATAAAACCAGAGGGGCCTGGCCAGGTATGTGTAGGTACTAGTTACTTACCTGTGTAGTTAGCAGCCCTCTGAGTTTCATCAGCTCCTGTAAGTACATTCTTATTTTTCATGTTTTCTGTTCATCTTGACCAGGCTTTTTTTTTTAAGTTTATCTAAACAACTACAGGGGAGTGGTCAATTAGCAGTTTTCAGTTTCTTCCACCACCATGGATGCACCAGCTCCCAGATCTCAGCTTTTTCTTTTTCCTTTTCTTTTTTTTTTGGTAAGGGGAATCGAACTGAGGGCCTCTCGTTTGCCAGGCAGGTGCTGCGCCGCTGAGCTACATCCCCAGCCCAATCTTATCTTTTTGTTTGAACTAGACAGGTTTTCTTCTGTTCCTCACCTTACATGTTAATGAGGAGCTCTACGTAAGAACTTTTTTTCTTAAGAAATCCTAGTACAATTAACATTTTGCAAACCAAAAACTTTTCTTCTTTACAGATAAGCGTACCTCCAGTGAAGTCTTTGGCAATAATGGAATCCTTGCTACAGATATAAATCACTTCATTGAAAATATCCAACATATAGCAGCTCCATTTAGAAGCAGCTATTGGTAAGAACACTATGTAGCTCCCTTGCAGTGTTGCATTGTTGGCACCACACACTTCGGTGTATCTGCGGCAAACGGTTGTTCAGCAACTGCTCTTCATAGTATACATCATGCCGTATTTTTTTAGGCATGGAAATATGTTAGCTTTCTTAATTATCACTAAAGAGATTACCAGTAGTAATTCAAAGTAGGACTGTTGTTAACCTGGCTTGCCAGCACACAGGACAGTATAACCTTAATATTATACCTAAAAGTTTGCCATATCAGATTTGGAATCCTGTTTGTAAAATATTTCCTGTTCATTTTGTTTATACAGGTGATTTAGCTGGAGCTTGCCTACATGTGGAGGATGCTACCGACAAAACAGTATTTTCCTCCTATTAAAAAAAAGATACCAACACTCTCCTCATATTTGAAAATTCAATGTTCTACAATTTGGAAAGTTTTTCTTCATTTTTTATATTTTCTACAATGTCTAACTTTACAGTGGCAGTTAGCTGCCACTAGATTTGGGTTGCAGTGTTGAATACTGTTTATTTTTGACACATGCCTTTGAAGCTATAAATAGAACAGGAATTTTATAACATGTTTATGTAGTTGGAGCAAAAATAAGTATTTTAACAAGTAGCTTTGTTTTTGCATGTTAATGTCAAAAAAGGATATGAAGTGCATGTGTGATGGTTTCAATTTTACCACCCTTGTAAAAAAAATAATTTTTTAAAAAAATGGTTTTACTGGTTGTTAAACAAGCAACACTACACACCCTTTTTTCTAAATGATACGCATTTATAAACTTTTCCACTACACTACCAAAATCAACCATTTGAGGAAGAAATAATCATTTATTTATGGTATTAGAAGTAATTTCTACAGTAATCTTTAAAACACAAAAAACCATTTGTAAAAGATGCATAGTTATCTATTTGGAGCAGTAGTCTTTTTGTAAGTGATTTCTTTTTTTAATAAAGACAACTAAAAATCATTCTTTCTGCAGTGATTTTAAAGCAAAACTTAAACTTGTGTGAAAGGTCTTAGCCATCTTAGAACTAGCTTCCAGGGAATCCTAGCACATAGAGCCCTTCGGCCTGGCTTCTGCTGACTGACCTGCCTTATGCACCTGGTGTTCTTTACCTCCCAAAGTCAGGTACACTGAGTGAGTAGCCAGCTACAGACAGGAAATTTCAAGTACCCTTTCTATAAGGCTATGCAGCTGTTTTGTGTCATTCTTACCGTACCTAACAAAAGTGCCAGTTTCACTGTATTTGTCGAGAAGGACCACTCTTTTCACCAACAGTATTTCCCCTTAAACAAGAATTGGTAAGGGGACAGGTAAACTATTTTGAAATAATTTCTAAGAAAAGCTTTAAGCACCTACCACTGTGCCTGATAGCAGTTAAAGCTCACGTGTTTACCGAGAAGGCCATCCTTTTCCATCCCCAAGCTACCTTTTTAGTAACTTACCATATGTCCACCCTGAACTGTGAACTTCCTCAGAATTGCAGCTTCATCTTTGTGCTCCTCAGGCCTAGCACATGAAGTCTATAAGTGTGTTGAACAATGTGAAAATTTGGTCTCTTTTGCTTTTAATTTATTACTAATTCAGCTCACGCCTCTGCCAGCATTAAAGTTCACAATTAAAAACATAGGAACTTTTATTTTCTCGTGTGAAGCGGTGACTGTCATCTGATGTCCAGACATTCGGGGCTGTCACTGCAGGGAGATGCTGTTTGTTTCCACAGTACACCACAGAGCCCTGCCACAAAGGGATCCGCTCAGAATGTCTAACAGAAGCTGAGACCTCTGCATTAACCACATGGACTGTTAATTTAGCTTGTTATTCAGACAGTCTATGTGGTTAAATTATCATCACCTACTTCCCCTTCTTCATACTTAATATATTTTAAGGATGGTAAGCGGCTACATATATAGTGGGGCTCACCATTATGAAGGAGAAAATCAGTACCAGCAAAAAAGTTTTATCATTTAAAGTACATGGTTACTAAAGTACTGTTGCACCTGGAAAAGTTCATTTATAATTGCTGCTATAAACAGCATTTATCCATGGCAGTAACTTCTATTTGTATGGGAAATACCTGCTCTACACCAGAGCTGAGATTGCCAAAAACAGGCCAGGCATGGTGACACAAGCCTGTGATCCCAGCACTTGGGGAGGCTCAGGCAGCAGGAGCACAACCTCGAGCCCAGCCTGGTCAATTTAGCAAGATCCTGTCTGAAGACAAAAAGTACTTGGAATGTTCACTGTGACGGCTGAGTCCAATCCCAGAACCGCACAACGCTTCACCGTGTCCTCACAGTGCAGTCAGACACGGGCCGACCGCTCCGAGACATCCGGATCCGGAGCTGCACACACCCCTGGCTCTTGTGCATATCTGGCTCTAGCGTCACACTCAGCTCTCCAGTACAGTGTGCAGCAGCTGTGTTGCGGCCTTTACAATCATAACAAAAACAGAACCATACCGCGAGCAGTGGTTTCCAGAGTTTGGCTTTATTTTGCAGTACAGAAATCATTTGGAGCCATTTTGAGACAGACATCATTGAAGTTGATAGAGGCTCTGTCAAATCAATACTGCATTGCAGCTTGGTCCATGGAAGAAGCCGCACCTGGGATACAAAAGATGGTTCTACATTTTACCTGCTTTAGATAAGTTCCCTTCCCCTTCTCTCCATTTTCCTAGGTTAATACAACACATACTGGCTTTCTCCACACACTCCCTCAGTCTGGAGTTTGGTTAGAAGTATATGTCCACATAAACCAAACTTGTGGCTATACTATGTGGGCCCTGCCCATAATTATGTGACATAACACAAAATATGCATAGGAAAAACTTAAAGATGCTGTCCAAAACTAAGGAATATTCAACTTAGAATCTCCTTAATGTCAAGATGGCACTGCACACACTGTATGGATCCCCCTCTTGAGCAGCAAAAACAAAACTGCAAAGTCTACACTGATTAAAAGATACAAATACTGTATCAAGTTCTCTGTATTGGTAGCACAACCTTTTTAAAACTGTTCCTTCACTAGAAAAAAGCCAGCCTGGTTAAATTGAACAGAATGGTAACGTGTCAGTCTGAATAGCCAGTCCACGAGAAGTTAATACATAAGATTAGAAAGATGAAGGGGAATATTCACTGGTATAGCGCTCTTCAATCTCCATTGTGATTACAAAAGCAGGCCTTACAATATTGATTTCATACAATATGTATTATTTGCCAAATTTTAAATTTGTCCTAATTAGATATTAACATTTACTGCTGTTAGTCTTCCCCATAGATGTCATTTTTCTTGCGCTTCATTTCCTCAAAGTCAAACTCCGATCCCGTCATCCTTTTATAGATGTCTTTAATGTCATCACAGGTTGTCTCAAAGTGAGTTGTAGCATCATACGCACGGGAAATAAAGATCTAGGAATAAAGAAGGCAAAAATGAAGACTCTAGAGATGTTTCCTAATAAAGCTCAATAATGTTCTTTTGGGATCACCACACTCACCTGGCTGTCTGTTCCCAAATCTTTTGGTACAAGGAGGTCACTGATGCTAACAAATCTAGAGGGGAAAAAGAATTACATTGGCATGTTAGTTGGCCCCACACCCAGTCAGTGCTTTGCCTGAAGTTCTGCGGTCCAAGGCTAAGACTAGTACTGCTAGTGTTACGGTTTAGGTCAGGGATGACGCCAAACTCTACTGTGCTCTCTCAGGGGCAGGGCCTTTGGAAGGAGATGATCTTGGATGTGCTGCGCTAGCAGGTGGCGTCTATGAAGGTGGATCACTAAGGCGTGACCGGAAGGGTGTATCTCCCGCCTCTATTTTGTAAAGGCCGCTTAAGCAGCTTTCCTCCGCGAGGCCCTTCCCGCAGGCAGTTTAGGCCTTGGAGCCAGCTGACTATGGATGGAAACCTCAAAAACCCCTGAGCCCAAGGAAACCTCTCCACCTTTAAGTTGCAGGTGTCAAGAACTGCGTCCCAGCAATGAGGAGAGTGATTCAAACAAGAGAGATGAGACACTTCAAGGACATCCCCACAGCAGCCACGGACCACCTTCATGGTTCTTGTATGCACGCCCTCGAGACCTGAGTTTACAGTTTAGTCAACTTAAATGAATACAACACTCACTTCTGTTCAATTGGTTCCAACAGTTCCAAAGCTGGTCTGATTTCTTTCTCCGGTTCTTTGGTTTCCACAGTTGTACTAACAATGGCAATGTACTTCCCTTGTGCTGCCACGTTGTGTGCAGAGGAGATCATGCAAACATAGATATCTAGAGGCAAGTAATAGCAGTTCACAGCCTAGAGTTTATAAACAAGGGAAAAAGTGCACTCACATTTCACCGTGTTTCACTGAGTTATAGTTATTGTTACTTGAAAAAGGCAAGATCTAAAGTTCTGTACAGAGGGCAAGAGTCATGGTAAAGTATGTAAATAGTTAATAATGAATTTCTTGCAACCTTTTAGAAATTAAGAATTTATGTAGCTATGAACTGAATGAAATCTCATCCCAGCTCTGTAATAACTCACTGAAAAATCTGCCAAACCATATTAACACTTGAATTTTCTTTCACCCTGGCCCTTGCATTTGGAAAGATTTTAAACAGCAAAGAAAATATTTATCAAGAATTGACTTCCAGCCAGGCACTGTGATGGACACCTGTAATCCTAGCACTTGGGAGGCTGAGGCAGGAGGACTGCCTTGAGTTGAGGCCAGCCTAGTACATAGTGAGTTCAAGGCCAGCCTGAACTACAGAGAAAGACTTTGTTTCAAAATAAAGAAAAAGAAAAAAGAACTTATTTCCTCATTTATTAAAGCAGTTAAAAACTGCAAATCAGCAAAAGCTTATTTTTGAAATGGAATAAACTGGAATTCCTGATACCAACTTGGTGTATATACAACTATTCTAAGAAAGAACGTAATTTCAAATACAGAAAGTAATTACTAGACCTCTTTTTTTTTTTAGATTTTCACAGATCTGGAGCCTGCTTGGGAACCAATGAAAGATTAAGTCTGAGTCCCTTTATTATCACTTTTTAAAAAATCATGCAGAGAGCTCTTAACTATTTAAAAGTAGATGCTCCATTTTAAGTTAAATTTTAGATAAATAAGTTGTAGGGCTTCTAGTTAAAAGTGTGAACACAGTGGTTGAAAAGTGGTTAAAGCAAACCAATTAGTTGCAATTTTAGGGCCAAATACTGATCTGAAGAATGAACTGCACAAGTAATGCTATAGAAGCAACTGTGTATGTCATCTGCTCAAAAATAAAGTGGAATCTGTTCATCTCCTAAACGTAAATCTCCGGAGTTCACCTGCTGTCACAGTCTATTCACCACAACGAGGGGGGAACTGATGTGCAAAGTGATGAATGCTAAGGGTTCCCAGTCTACTTGATGACGCAGGATACTTCTAGGTGCCAGAAGGACCCATACTTTGTTTCCCACATGTAAACTAAAGTCTTCACTATGATGCTGCATGTAAAGTTAGGAATCTGGAGTGAAATGAAGCAATCTAACAATTCCACCAACATGCTGGCCTTCAAAACTCACCTGATTTTCGATTGACTTGGTTCTGTGGAATAATTATCTGACAGGAATTGGCATCGTTGGTATTCTTGATGGGGTGGCTGAGGATGCATATAACTCTAATCACCTGTCCCACTTTTTCTACCCGATCCTTTACATAACTTGGGTCACAGATGAGCTGCTTACAGCGAGCAATCTATAATGAAACACAAAGACTTAAAGATATACGTGTATGGAAATACATCCCACGCTCACAGATTAAAAAACAAGTGTTAAAATAAATGCACCCTAAAATTTACATGGAGGCGTAAGGGACTGAATTCAGGAATAACCAAACCTATCCTGAAAAAGCAGGAAGACTCATTAAGTAATCAATAGGATAATGGCATAAAGACCACCAGAACAGAAAAGAGAATCCAGAGATAAACCTTTACATCTACAGTTAAGTGATTTCTTAACAAAGGTGCCAAGACTAATCTGGGCAAAGGACAATCTTTTCAACAAATAGTGCTGAGCAAACTGTTACATGCAAAAGAACATCATACGCCAAAAAATGTGAATGAGTCAAAGAACTAAAACTCTCACAAGAAAATGTGGGGCAGCCTGGGCATGATGGCACGTGCGTGTAATCCCAGCACTTGGGAGGCTGAGGCAGCAGGATCGTCGCGAGTTCGAGACCAGCCTGAGCTACACAAAGGGAGCTCAAGGCCAGCCTGAACTGCATAGCAAGACCCTACCCCCAAAAAACCAAAAAAAAAAAACCAAAAAAAAAAAATGAGGGGCAGACATCTCCTGTACTGGATTTGTAGTGACTTCATACACGCAAAAGCCATAGCCAATGAAAATAACTGTCAAACTGGACTCAAGAAACACTACCAAGAGTGGAAAAATGTAACACACAGAATGGCAGAAAACATCTGAAAATAAAAATCTGATACAGGATATCAAGCCAGAGCTTATTAAGAGGTAAACTTCAATGAAACCTGGCCAGACTCAAAGCTGAGTACAAAATCTAAAGAAAAAAAAAAGATACACAAATGGCCAACAGCACAGGAAACGATGCTCAACATCCCCTCAGCTAAATGCAAATCAACACTACAATGAAAGGACTCCTCCTGCCCTTCAGGATGCTTACTCAATGAAACAAAATTAACGCTGGCACGGTCACGGAGTCGTGTGCTGTGGATGGAAATGGAAAGCACTATAGCCACTGTCAAAAATGGTATGGCAGCTTCTGACAAGATTAAACATAGAATTATCATACTTCCGAGTATATACCCAAACAAAGTGGAGTCCTAAAGGTTATTTATTCATGCACCAATATCACAGTGTAGCATTATTCTTAACAGCTAAATGTGGAAACAACCCAACTGTCCACTGATAAGTAGATAGGCAAAACATGGTTTATACTGACAGTGGAATATTTATTCAGCCTTAAAAAGGAAGGAAATTCTGACATGCTACCACAGGTAAACCTTGAAGACGTGCTAAATGAAATAATCCATTCACAAAAAAAAAATAACAAATACTATGTGATTCTACTTACATGAGATACTTAAAAGCAGTCAAAATCATGGAGACAGAAAATACAGTGATGGTGCAGGGATGGGAGGAAGACAATGGAGTTACTATGAAAGAGTTCAGCTTTATGAAAAAGTTCTAGAGATGCACAGTGGTGATAGTTGTACATTATGAAAGTATTTAAAATTAATGAACTGCCAGGCATGATGGCACACATCTGTAATCCTACCATTAGGGAGGCTGAGGCAGGAGAAGCCCCATAAGTCTGAGGCCAGCCTGGGCTAAATAGTAAGTTCCAGGGCAATTTAAGCTACACAGTGAGACCTTATGTCAAAAACCAAAAATAAATAAATCCAATGAACTGTACTGTTAAAATGGTTGAGATGATAAATGTTACATGTACTTTATCCACATTTTTTAAATTTGGGAGGTAAATGGTAATGTTTATACTGGGCTAGAGATAGCCCTCAGTAGTGGAACACTTGCCTAGCATCTGCAAGGCCCTAGGTTCAAATCCCAACACTGAGAAAAAGTAACACAATTTTCCCTTCAATACAATTTTAGAACAAGGGCTGGGGATATAGCTCAGTCACACACACACTCACACAAGCTACCTTTACTAATTGCCATAAATTCTCCATCAAGGTTGTATAGTAAGTCTTAGAATTAGATTACTCAGAATGCAAATCCTGGCTATAAATCAAATAGTATGTATAATGACTATCATATGTGCGTATCCCAGAAAAAGTATCTACTATTAGCGTTATAAAGAGACCAAAATCATCATCTCAAGGCTGTTTTATAAGTAAAATTTTAGTTACAAGACAAATGTACTGCAGCACCTTCTCTGTCACAGCAAAGCTCTGAGGCTGCTGAGAAGACAGCTATGCAAAGCAAGAACAGGCATCAGTACCATCACCTACGGACAAAGTCTCTTCAGCCTGTGGAACCTGAGTTGCACTGTACATGATTCAAATCTGAGAAAGTTCTGAGCTAGAACTCCAACCTGTTTCATCCAATAAATTGTAAGTGATGGAAATAAAGCTAAATTTAAATAAAAATTTGAGGACAGGCACCCACACAATTTGAATTACAGAATACTTACAATTTAAAACTCATCCATAATGCTGCAATAACTGACATAAAAGAATATTAAGAGCTTTGTTTCTTTTAAAGCACAGCACCATACTAGTCCTTTATTACGATGAATGCAAACTTACCATATGTAAATCCTAGTCCAAAATGTATCACCAATGTCCACACCAAAAAAGTACTGAGTAGATAATACGATTTTCTTCAAAAGAGTAAAATATCTTTATACTGTAAAAGTTACTTACCTCTCCTTCAGATTTTACACCAACCACTTTTCCATTCTGCACAATTATTTCTTCAATTGGTTTATTCAACATGTAGGTACCGCCATAAATAGCACTTAGCCTAGAAAATTTTTAAAATTTCAATTATAATATATTAACTTTCAGTTACCAGTCTCCCTCCTTAGAGTTAATTATATGCAACATATATGTAAATATAACTGCTTAGCTTCCTTGTAAAGGATGTTAGCTTAAGTCATGAAAGTATAAAGTACTGTATGAAACAAGTAAAAAACATGAATTGACACCCCATACTCACAGTTAAGAACACAATGTTAAAAACAGCACTCACCAGTAATAGAGGAATCACTTATATTGAGTGGCCTAATCCTCCTTCATATAAATAAAACTTTGGACATAAAAACAGTGCCCTAGCTGGATGTGGTGACGCATTCCTATGATCCCATCAGAGGCAGAAGGAACGGCAAGGACAAGGCCAGCCTGGGCAATTTAGCAAGACAAAGGGGCTAGGGATGTAGCTCAGTGGTAGAGCACTTGCTTAGCATGGACAAAGCCCTGGCTCAATCCCCACTACCAGTGCAGGGGGAAGCTTATCAGAGGCATAGGAGAGTATCTACAGCAGGCAGAAAAAGAAGACAAGACTCAAAGGGAAGCAACTGGTTGAGATCTTTACATGACACACATAGTTTTTCCCTGGGGGAACTACTTAGTCTTTGTACTTTGGGACAGCTAGAACAGAAGCAGAAAGCTTTGAGGTCTTACAGATTTGAGGAACTGTAAGACAGAATTTAAGGCTGACAGGAGATAAAAACTGTAGGAGAAAAGCCAACAAAAGGAAAAGCCACAAAGGAAGGAGCCAACAAATCTGCAGTAAAATATCAAATCTTAACTATAAGCACTCAAAAAGTGCTTAAACATGAGCACCCAAACATGAGAACCCAAGAGATCTAAAACCTCAGTATCTTTAAAGGGCAGAAGCGGGGGCTGAGATTAGTTCTGCTGGCCACAGGGAAACACGTGTGAAGTCTAAAACCACCGTGTTGGCGGCTGGCAGTTCCAGGACACCACTTAGTATTCAGCTGTTAAACTGAACTCAAGGGACCCACCCGAACAAGTACAAAGTCAGACCTCCACAAGTTCGGGTTAATGGCCAATTACTTAACTGCTCTGCTTGAGGGAAAAAAAAAAAAAAAATCACCTTTATCCTTTTCCTTCCTTCCTTCCCCCCCTCCCCCATCAGTTTCTCTTTTCTTTTGAACAGCTTTTCCCAATTTGCATCTACTGCATAATATACACAAGATAGTTAACAGTTATACAGGTAGTTTCTCTCAGCTCATTGAAAAGAAAGGTTTATGCTAATATTGTTTGGGAAATATTTCATGCCTTTACCTTGCTACTACAAAGATAACGATGTGCAATGTATGACTTAATGTTACTCTCCTATTAGCCTGTTTTGAAACTTTTATTGCTATTTTTATTTTTTCTCTTTAAAATAAAAAAAAAAATCAACTTTTCAGAGGAAAAACCCAACATCTCTACCAATCCAGGTGCCCTGTATACAATCCAAAATTACCAGACATGTGAAAAAACAGGAAATGTGATACAGAGTAAACAGAAAAAGCAATCAACAGATGTCCAGGTTACCCAGATGTTTACATGTATGAGAGCTGAAAGGCAGGTATTTTTAAAATGTTCAGTGGTATGCTAAAGGATGGATACTCCTGTTACAAACACACTTAAGAGTCCAAATGAATTTAAGCGAGAATCATAAAAATGAAAACTATGAAAATACTCAATCTAAAATATAAAAAAAAATCATTAAATAGTATTAACAGCCTATGGCAGGGGCTGGGGATTTAGCTCAGTGGCACAGCGCCTGCCTGGCAAGTGCGAGGTCATGAGTTTGATTCCCGGTACCGGAAAAAAAACAAAAAAATAAAACAGCCTATGGCAAACAGCAGAAAATGATGATAATGCGCCTGAAGACAAATGAACAGGCATTACCCAATGTGAAGGAGAGAAAAAGACACGCACACACAAAACCAGATCCTCTGTAACCTGAGGAATAATGTATCAATACACAAGTGACTGACATGCCAGAGAGCGCGGAAAGCGGCTGAATACCTGAAGAAATGACTTTTAAATTCTCCAGTTAACATAAAAAGTGTTTAAAGTAACTTCAATCTACAAACAAGTCAATAACCCTCAGCCCCTCCCCGAAAAACCACGAGGCAAATCCTAGTGAAACTGCCACCACCAAAGAAAACCCTGAAAGCCGAAACAGCCAGAGGAGAAAAACACACGGCGTATGTGGAAACAGCTACGGATACAAATGGCAGCTACCTTACTCAAATCAAGGGAGGCGCCAGTGAAAGGAGAAGCAGCTTCGAGTGCTAACAGGAAACAATCTCCCGCCAGCAGAAGTTCTTCAAAAGTGAAAGTGAGACATTCTCATACACAAAAGCTGAGCGAAATCATTACCAGACCTGTACTACTGCATGCAGAAGGGAAGCTGAGGGGAAATGACAGCAGGTGTAAACAAGGAGCGACCAAGACGGCAATAGGTGCGTAAATACGAACAGCTACTTCCGTTTCTTTATGCGACGCAAGTGCTCTACCAGTGAACTACACCCCCCGACCTCCTTCTGTTCATGTCTTTAAACCGTTCAACGAAAAAGGAAAAAATTTTAACAACAGAGGTATTACAGGTTTGATATGGAATTATGGGACTTTATAAAGTATGGAAATGTGCCAAAAAAATAAAAATAAAAATAAAGTATGGACATGTAAAATGTACACAATAGCACAAAGAATGGGAAATAGGTAAGTGTTGCAAACATTGTGTATGGTATTTTATGTAAAACAGTACAATATTAACTGTAAATTAAACTGATGAAACACACTCTGCTTCGTAGGATAAAGCGCGAAAAGATTTAAGAAACAAAAATTTGTACATAAGAAGCCATTATGGGAATCAAGATGAAACATCAGAAGATAATGCAAAAAGAGAAAGAGAGGTGAGTGTGGAGGGGGAACAGCAAAAATAATAGACTAATCTCAACCATACGTATAACTGTGTTAAATGCAACTGGACCAAATATTCCAAAAAGCCAACCCTTGCCACGATGGGTACAAAAGCAAGATTCAATTAAATGCTGTCTTCAAGAGTCATCTTCAAGGTGAGGCACAATGGCGCACGCCTACAATCCCAGCACTCAGGAGGCTGAGGCGGGACTGCCAGGAGTTCTAGGCAAACCTGGACTACAAGGTGAGTCGGTTGAAGGATCCAGTGGACCACGTAGGAAGACACTGTCACAAAAAAAGGTCTTTATAGACTACTCCACCCAACATATACAGAGTACACATTCCGTTCCAGGCATATTCCCTAAGATCATATATTGAGCTACCCTAAGATATTCCCTAAGATTATGTATTTAGAAAGACTGTAAGATTGTACTTCGACCATAATGGAGTTAGATACTAGTGACAATAAGATACTTAGAAAAATCCCCAAATGTTTAGAAATTAATACCCTCCCCAATAATCCGAAGGGCAAAGACACAAGAAAGATACTAACCATAATGGACATCACAGATTTACAGGGAAACTGAACCTTTACATCACTATACTGCATAACAGGACAAAATCAACTGTATTTCAACCTTAAAAATTTTTTTAAAAAAGCAATGTAAACTCTAATAGAAATTAAGAACAGAATGAAAGGCAGAGAAAATTAGTCAAGCTGAAATACTGGTACTTTGAAAAGATGAGAAAAATTAATTGGACCCTAGTGAGAACACAGAAAATACAAATTACCAATCACAAGAATGAAGGTAGAAACATCATTTCTGATCTTAAACTCAACAAAAGGGCAATAAAGAAATATTAAGCACAATTTACATCATTAAATTCAAGAACTTATTTGAAATGATTAAATTCTACGAAAACTGCAGCAAGAAATAGTACAGGTGAAGAATCTTGATTCTGTTGAAAGAACATTAACTTGCTGCAAAGCAAGTCTAGGCCCAATGGATTCACTGATATATTCTATACAACACTTAAGAAAAATGAGTAACGAACTTCACAAACTTCCAGAAAACAAGGAGACACTTCCAATTCATTTTGTAAGATTATCAAGGCTTGATACAAAAAGACACTACGAGAATTATTAAACCAAGGACTACTATAAACAAAGACAAAAAATTCATCTGTCCACATAAAAAATACAAACTAAATCCAGCATTAAGAAAATACATCATGGATGAGGGGCTTATTCTGGCAATACAGGGATATTTTAATGGTCAACAATCAACTGCGCAATTCACCGCAGACAAGAAAATTTGCATAATTAACTTACTGTCAATTCCCATTCATAATTTAAAAATTAGCACACTATGAATAGAACTGAAAGAATTTAACAAAACCTAAAAACTATTAAAAAAATATATTTAATACTAAAAAATTTACTACTTTCTCCCTAAGGCTGGGAACAAGGCAAGAATGCCCATCCTTACCACTTCAACATTTTTTGGGAAATACTAGGCAGTTCAATAAACACAAGGACAGTAAGAGAAGATCTAATCTTGCTATTCAGAGACTGCATGACTATGTACATGAAAAATTCTAAGAAATCTATAAAACTAAGTGAACTAGTAGAATAAGCACATCACAGATACAAAGTTAATAAATATAAATCAACTGTACTTCTTTTCTTAATGTTTGTGATACACAGTAACAACACAGCTTGAGACCAGGCACACATACATACTGGTATCACATCTTCATCTTTTTACTTCTTGTTCCTCTCCTTGTCCTCCTCTCTCCCTCCAAATCGTATTTCTATGTAACAACAGCAACTTTAACATAAAATTAAGCTGGGCATGGTAGTGCACGCTCAGATGCCTGTTATCCCAGCACTCAGGAGGCTGAGGCAGGAGGATCACCATGAGTTGAAGGCCTGCCTGGGCTACATAGTGAGTTCAAGGTCAGCCTGCACTAGTGAGACCTTGCCCCAAAAAAACAATAAATATAAAACCCAAAATGTACAATCAATATTGTGAAATGGGAAGAAAATGCTTTTGAGTGGGGGACAGGAGAAAACAAGGAAAAAGGAAAAATAGATAAATAAATACAAATATGTATATATATATACATATACACACACAAGACTGTTAAGTTAGCTATACTACTAACTGCTATTAGCTCACTGTAAAGGAAAGTTTATGCCTATATTGCTTGATCAATTTTTCATGCCTATATCTTATGAATAACTACTTTGAAGATTACAATACACAATGTACTAACCATTGTTACTCTCCTACAATCCTGTTTTGAAATTTTATACTTGCTTTTATTTTTTCTTTAAAATAAAACCCAATAAATACATACATGCATACAAATAACAGCATCAAAATAAAAAAGCACATGAACAAAGTGCTATAGTTGAAAGCACTGTATAGACAACAAATACAAGTGCAGTAAATATTTAAATTAAAAAATAACGTCACAGAAAAAGATGCATTGCCAACAATGATGGGAAAAATGTATTTGAGGCAAGAGGTATTTTGAGAATTAATGACAATGTGTTGTTACAATAAATTTGTTAAACATTTACCATATTTTTAATCATTCTCATATATGGAGAGCACAGCAATACACTCATGGATCAGAAAACTATTATTATAATGAAAAATTTCTCCAAACTGATTGACAGATTTAACTCAAAATCAAAATCTCAGCAAGAATTTTTCTAGAAACTGAGAGGCTGATTCTAACTATATATGGAAATGTAAAGGATCTACAACAGTCCAAACAAATTTGAAAGAGAATCTAACTGGAAGGAGTTATATCACCTAATTCCAAGATTTACAACAAAGTAATCACGCATAGGAACTATAAACAAATCACTGGAATGAAAGTGAGTCCCAGAGTAGATACGTCCACCTTATATCCCCACAAGAAATCTGTCTGGAAAAGAATGTATTTTCTATAAACATTGCTAGAACAACTAAATACTAGAACGGGGAAGGCAGGAGAGAACCTCAAGCCCTACCTCACTCCTACACACCAATATTATTTCAAGATGAATCATATATTTAAACACAAAGATACAATAATAAAGCTTCTAGAAAAAGAGAGTATCTTTGTACCTTTACTAGGGTCCCAAAGCATTAAGCATAAACATACAATTTTGATAGACTGACCTTCCTCAAACCGTACAACTTCTTAGGAAAAGATACACCACAGACTGGGAAAGAAGTCTGTAATACATATATCTGACAATGACACGACACGATAATACACCAAATTCTTCTACAATCCAGAACAAAAAGACAAGGCAAATCTTTTGCAGTGTGCAAAAAGACAGTCACGGCACAAAGTCATACAAAGGGCCAAAAAGCTCATGAAAAGTGGTCATTAGTCCTCAGGAAATGCAAATTAAAACCATGGTGAAATGACATTGCACACCCATGTGGGCAGCTAAAACCAAAACTCTTTATTTTTCACGTAAGATCTGTGTTGCACAGTATATAAATTCTACCTTATCACTCAAAGGCATCTCTCACCTAAGTCAAACCACACATTACATGCCCGTGTTGAAGATGAAGCTCAGGATCAGGTGAGTCTCAGCTAACCTGTCAAATGTAGGCTCTTACCTTGCAAATCCTTGTGGCAGTTCTCCAAGGCCATAAAGTGGATAAAGGTATGGGCTTTTGCCGTATCTTGCCAAAGACTCACTGTAAAGTTTAATTCTATCAATGGTCTCACAACATGGCTGATCTAAGTAGCTGGAAGAAAGAAAAAGTATGTTAAAAAAAAAACAGGCATTAGTTTTCTTTCTCGCTTAATTGAAAGTCATTTTCTGTAGTGATTTCAATTCATTACCTTCTTACTCACTTAAAAGACTTAACATTAATTTTTTTAAAATAGAACCTCATCTTTCATAGTACAACATGGCTACGTATTTACTGTAAGAATTTCCACGTTAGAGAACTAGGAAACTCTGAGTTCCAAGAAAAATACAAACCTAAAAACATAAAAAACTTACTCATCAGTTCGGTACAGTGCAAGAGAATGCCCAGTAAAATCTATAACATCTTGGCCCAAGTCAAATTTCTTGTACAGATCTCGCATTGTGGTCTTCTTAGGATCAATGCCCTCAAAAGTTCTAGGGTCTTTTTCATCAAAGTTGGCAACATACACTAGGAACTTTCTGAAGCGACGTTTTTCAAACAGTCCCATTAAGCCTACGAAAGAATTTTTTAAAAAGCACAAACTCATAATAGGTTAGTGAGGGAAAATGTGTAAGAAAATATAAGCGTATCATTAACTTAAGACTTCTATGATGAAAGCATAATGTAAGATGTGCGAACTGGGGCTGGGGATTTAGCTCAGCGGCACAGTGCCTGCCTGGCAAGCTCAAGGTCCTGAGTTCAATCCCTGGTACCGGAAAAAAAACAAAAAACTAAAAAACCCAAGATGTGGGAACTGACAATGCAGCTTCCGGTTTTACAACACTTTACAATAAACCCACACAAAACAGGTCGTTTGTAAGATCTTCAATTTTACCTCATGATTACAAGTAATTATAAGCAGTACTTAATTAAATGTAAGTTGAATTAGTCTCTTATAAGATACAAAGTAACCATGACTAAAAAAACATTATCTAAGAATACATTAATCTCAACATTTCTCCTCGGACAACTCTGATCTACACTCAGCCAAATGCCTAAAATTCTGAGTGCTCTTCCTTTTCTTCTTCTAAATACTAAGATATGCTGTGGCATATAATGAGAAAAGAAGCTTAAGGTACCAAAAACAAATTAACCTCAACCAAAGTTGAATGCTGACTATGCATTGATCACTTATTTTAATGAAGTCTTAGATATCCAGTTCACAGCTTTTTACACTAAAAAGTACAGATGAAGAGACTGCTGTAAACTTCCACCTAAAATACCCACTCTTCCTATTTAACCAATACTCCTACTAGGTTATAGCTGGTAGAAAGATAATGAAAAGCAAAGTTTTCTTGTTTTATTTTCCTTCTCCTTTTGTAAACTGTACATGATATTAAAAGCCAATGACATATCCCCACTGCCTAGTACATGACAGACATTCAATAAATATTAGTTGACCAGATGGATAGATTTCTGAGATCCCTTTCCACTGTAAAATCTATTATTCTGAGAAAATGAAATTACTTACTAGATGCCAGGGCCTCTGCTTCAGTAGAAGGAACCTTATAGATTTTTCCTCCCTTATAGACAAAGCTCCCTTCAATCACTTTGAAATCCATGTATCGAGTAACTTCTGTATATAGCAACATCTTAACCAGCTGACCTAGAAAAGTGACATAATTCAAACCATGACTTAAATCTTTCCACCCTTGGCTGGGAATGGTGGCACACAGCTGGACTTGTAGCACTTGGGAGACTGAGGCAGAACTGCTATGAGTTCAAGAGCAGCAGGAGTTACACAGTGAATTCAAGGCCAGCCTGAACTACACAGTGAGACACTGTCTCAAAAAAAAAAAAAAAAAAAAAGTTACTACCATTAGAAAGTAGCAAAAATAAGCCCAGGCTAGTAGAATATGCCTGTATTCCCCAGGAGGATGAATCAGAAGGACTTAGACTGGTCTGGTCAAGCCAGTTTACTGAGACTGTCTCAAAATTTTAAAAAATTAAAACAGCTGAGGATACAGATTAATAGTCCCTCAGTTCAATCCTCAGTACCACAAAAATAAATGTGCATTTATTATCACTAATGGCTCCCCAATTCTTTAACAGTGTCTAACAATTACCAAAACAACCCTGTAAAGGTTTATTTTAAATGTACAAACAGAATGCACACTTCTTAATATTTAGAACTATGTTTAATGTTAAATATTTAGAAATATTTTTAACGTTCAAGATTAGTAACAACTTGGTTTGCAGAAGCTATGAAATAATTATGAGAGGCATAAGAGTGAGAATTACAGTAGTACTGCAAACGTAATTAGGCTGCTTTATAGTTGCTGCTATATTTCAAAGACAGCCAACTCAAAAATATGTTTCCAAGTCAGCTTGTATTCATTAAAGGGAACACCAACATCAGATAAAGAGCCAGGCTTGCAATCAGAAGTACTATCTACATGTAGGCCTAAGAATTCTCATACACCAAAAGCAGCAAACTCCTTCGTGAAATGAAAACTATCTTAAAGCTGACTGGAAAGGATAAACAAGGCAGTTATACATTTAAAAATTATTTTAACAACAAGAAACATAGTGATAATGAGAAATTTATACAGTGAGATGTTAACAAACTTGTATATTTGAAACTTATATGAACTGGTCAAACTTATATGAACTGGTCCCCAAATTAGGGGAAAACAATACAAACTTACATGAACTGGTCAAACTTATATGAACTGGTCCCCAAATTAGGGGAAAACAATACAAACTCATATACAAAAATGTCATTTATAAAAAATCAATGTATGAAAAAAGTGCTAGTTAAAATGGAAAAGATAAATGGTGATAAAGGACAAGTGACTGGCCATTTTGAAAAAATGAATTTCAATCTCTACTTTTCAACCAATAATACAATAAAGTGGACGAACTTCACAAAATAGGAATCTGCTTATATGATAAAATGGGCAAGTTTATATGGCAAAAAAATGAAACAGCAAAAATCACTAAAAGCAATTAGCGCCCTCGCACTGTACTGGGGACTGAACCCAAGACCACTTATGCAAGGCAAGCACTCTATGCACTGAGCTGCACTCCTGCTCTGCAAATACTAGTACTCTTCTAGCCTTGAGGTAGAGAGAAAATTTCTAAGTATACAAAGGAAAAAAGATCAACCAATATGACATGAAAATTAAAAGCATTTTGTACAGAAAAAAATAGAGTCATAAGGCAAATCACAAACAAGAAAAGATATTTTCAACATATCTTTAAAGGGGGAATAACGTGATTTACAAAGAACTCTTTCACATCATTACCAAAAAATTTCAACAGAAAATGTGCAAAGCACAAGACAGGTCAGTTCAGTAAAGACTAGGAAAGCAGGAAGATATCTAAAACTCATTCCATCCTCTAATATTAAATAGGAATTTTAAAAGTCCAGACGTTACCTTTCAATAGGACAAAAACTGAAGTATCAAGGGTTAATAAAGCTACTGGGAAAAGGACAGCATCACTGGTGAAAGAAAAATGTAACACTAAAAAAGAAAATACTCTGACAGGCTCAGGATTTAGCTCACCAGTACAGCAGTTACCTAGCAGATGGGAAGCTCTGGCAAGTTGTGGGGACCCTGCAACCATGCTGGTCAGACGTGGCAGCACACATCTATTATCCCAGCGCTCTGAGAGGTTAAAGCAGGGTGCTAAGTTCAAGCTCAGCCAAGGCAACTCAGCAACTTAGTGAGGCCCTGTCTCATAATGAAAAATAAAATGCCAAGGATGTTGCTCAGTGCAAAGGCTCTGGATTCAATCCCCAGTACTTTAAATAAATAAATAATCAATTAATCAATTATAGCTTTTACCCCCCAAATTCACTTCTAAACATGCACAACACAGCACAAATGTTCAAAATATATTCAACAGCATAATACATTAAAACAAGGACCCAAACCAAAATGTTACACATCAAAATACAAACTATTAGCCATAATCAGATAGTGAGATTGTGTCAAATTTTTTTTTCTTTCTACTTAACTGTACCTATACTCCGATAACAGAAATTTTTGCTTATACTCTACCTTAAACAATTCAGTCAGTTAATTTTACATTTCAGAAAATCTCCAAATAGTCTTTTAAAACAAACTACAGAATATAAATTCAAAAAAAAGGGAAAGAGTAACACATACTTTATTTCATGAAATACAAACAGATCTATAAGCAAAATTTAGCATCTCCATGTCATCTCAAAAAATATTAATATCACGTAATTTAAAAAGATAATTCAGCCAGGTGTGGTGGTGCGCACCAGCAATTCCAGCATTTGGGAGGCTGAGGTAGGAGGATCGCTAGTCTGTACTACATAGTACGACCCTGCCTCAAAAAAAAAATTAAATTAAATTAAATTAAAACAGTATTTCATACTCCTCTAAAATGAGAAGAATATGATGAAAAAGTTTTAAATGCTTAAAAAACTAGAAAAACACTCAAATGACTATTTCTGCAGGCCCCATAATTTAAGATTGTCACTAAAGAATCAAGAGGAAAATCTGTTACAAATACTATAATTTTGGTACATATCACATCATAGAGATCCTGTCTCAAAAAACAAAAACCACTGATATTTATAAAATGTTTACAATTTGGGTTTGTATTGTGCTAACTAGAATTTTGCTTTTCCAGAGTCATTAACTAATAACATTCTTACCAACTCCAGACTCTCTTCGGTGAAGTCCTACTCCTCACACCCAGAATAATATTCACTGTGAAGAGCAGTTTCTATTTGCAAATGTGACAGTCTCAATGTACTGTCATAATTAAAATTAAGGTAGAATTTCTTACCATTAGCCATGAGGAACTTGGGAATTAAGTCAACATTCCAGTCTCTTCCTCTCCCCATTGATGCCGGAGGTACTCCTGGTAATTTAAATCTTTTGTATAACTAAAAGTAAGACAAAAATACCCATAATGTAACAAAATTTAATTTTTCATTATAATATAAAACTATCTTTTTGATTAAGTGGTTTGATTAAATTACTTAACTCAGAAACACAAAATAAATACTGCCAGTTTGTTTTCTATTTTTTTACTAGCAGAAAAGCAGAAGTACAAAACTACTAGTGACACACTAGTCCTGCAAATATATCCCTTATAATTTGGAGAAATCAAACAATTACAAATTGAATAAAAAGTTCTATCCTGAATAAAAAGTTAGCAAAAGCTTCATTTTGCTTCTCTAACTTATGTAAAGAGTTAAAAATACATTTTAGATGCTTCAAATCAGAAAAGACAATTAAAATTGGTTCACTATCATTTTTTAAGCTTTACTGTGGTGTAACTGATACACAAGCAAGGTGCTGTGGTGTACACTTGTAATCCCGTCACTTGGCAGGCTGACGTGGGGGGACTGCTGAGAGCAAGGCCAGCCTGAACTACACACTGAGTTCAGTACCAGTCTCAACTACACAGAGACCCTATCTCAACCCATCTGATACACAATAAACTGCACACATTTAATATATACACTTTGATGAGTTTGGTTATATGCACACACCCAAGATAACTTTACTATCAAGTATTAAACGTATCCATCACCTCCAAAAACATCACCATCCTGTTTCTTACACAGTGGTTCTTTTGTGTGTGTGTGTGGTATGAATCAAATTTATAATTTCTGTGAGTTGAGTAGAAGTTTAAAGAAAAAGAAGCTTTGCAATTTAAAGTGAGAGTATTAAATCCATGAATCCTTTCATTCGGGTGAACAGAATATAAACAGAGCTGGTAGATACTCAGTAATGGTTCATGGGTCTCTAAATAGTCTCTCTCTCTCTCTCTCTCTCTCTCTCTCTCACACACACACACACACACACACACACACACACACACGGGCAACAAAGAAAGACCAGCTAATAAATATAACAAGTGTGGAAGGCACAGTGCCAGCACATGGTCTCATACGTTACTTACAAAGAAGGGATCTGGTGGTTATCACCTGAAGCAGGGGTCAAAGTCATTAGCCTCATTAATGGCAGCATAACTTGACATTATGTGGCCCCTAACGTAATTTAGAACGAATAAACAACAATTACTTATAACCTAGCAAACTTCTCGAAAGAAAAGAAGTGGGGCGATTTTTGTGGATTAAGAGAAGAAGGAAAAACACCAAAACTGCAATGCTTGAACTTTTAGTTAATCCTGGTTTTAAAAACAAAAGGCTACTGGCAAGCTGGGGCAGGAGGATCATAAATTTGAGCCTCGCATGGGCAACTCAGCAACTTAAAGAGCCCTGCCCCCCAAAAATAAGGAAGAGATCTGGAGCTGCTGCTCAATGAGAAGGCCCAGGATTCAACACCCAGTGTTGTTTTTTAAAAAAATATTTTTTAGACTATTAAAAAGCTATCTAGGCAGAATGCTGAGGGCAAGCAGGCGGCGGCAGAGGCACGCAGGCAGGGCAAGAGGGTTGCTGTCCAGCTGTCCCCTCACGTCCCCGGGGCGTTGTACTTCTCCTTCCAGGGCAGGGCCCAGAGGACAAGCTGGAGAAAGAAGGAACCAGAGGGACACGCTGGTGCATCTCCTCGCTGGGGGATGTGGTGGCACAGCGGGAGCTATTCTGACATGTCCACTGGAAGGTGTGAAAACACGGCTACAGTCGTCTTCTGTGACACTTTGTATCTCTCAAGTTCAGCTGAACACCATGGGTGGAGCCAGCGTTAACCGAGTAGCGTCTCCCGACCCCTCCACTGCCTAAAGGTGATCTTGGAAAAAGAAGGGCCTCGTTCCTTACTTCGAGGATTAGGCCCCAATACAGTGGGGGTGGCTCCTTCCAGAGCACTATGCTTTGCAGCTTATTCCAGCTGCAAGGAAAAATTGAACGGTGTGTTTGATCCTGATTCTACCCAGGTTCACATGATTTCAGCTGCAATGGCAGGTCACTTCCTGTAGCAATATGGACTAACTTAAACCTCGTTTCACTGCAATCACCGCAACCAACCCCATCTGGCTTATAAAGACTCGGTTACAGCTTGACGCAAGGAACCGTGGGGAAAAGCAAATGGGTGCTTTTGAGTGTGTCCGTAAAGTGTACCAGACAGATGGACTTAGAGGATTTTACAGGGGCATGTCTGCTTCCTATGCTGGCATCAGAGACTGCAATCCATTTTGTTATTTATGAAAGTACAAAGCAAGAGTTACTGGACCGTAAGACTGCGTCCATGATGGAAAGTGGGGAAGTGTCTGTGAAAGAAGCATCAGACTTTGTGGGAATGATGCTTGCTGCTGCCACCTCAAAAACCTGTGCCACAACTATAGCACATCCACATGAAGTTGTAAGAACAAGATTACGAGAAGAAGGAACAAATTACAGATCCTTTTTTCAGACACTGTCTTTGGTGGTTCAAGAAGAAGGTTATGGGTCACTCTACGCTGGTCTAACAACTCATTTGGGGAGACAAATTCCAAACACAGCCATTACGATGGCCACCTATGAATTGGTGGTCTACCTACTGAATGGATAGCAGCACAGGCCGCCACACTACAAAAGAAGGAAGACCGAAAGATTACAATGGATCATGGAATATTGGAGCCAGCACGGTGGGCAGAAAGAATAGTAGTTTGGGAACATATACCATAACTATGCCTAAATGGAAGTTTGGTTAAGAAGCCACACCGCATTACTTAGTCTTTTTGTAATGTGGAAAAACAGCCACCTCTAAAGGAAATGCCTTTGGAAGCACTCCTTTGTTAAAGCTGCCATTTTCCCTACCGCGTCCACCACATACAGTTGTGTTTTATTGACCTATGATATTGAGATAATACTGTTTATTCTATGAGCATTTTTCCAATCTTCTAAACAAAGCCATCCTTAAACATATACTGTACTGTAGCTATCCAAAGGTTCATTTGGGTTAAATGTGCTAATAGGATATAATTTTTAAATTTTACTGTTGAGTCATCTGTACCTTTTAATAAATACTTCAGATGTATCATTTGTATGGGCTTTATGAAGGTGTCTGCTATAATACTGTTAAGAGACTTTGCCTATGGATATGCTGTCCTGGTGTATGAGATTTCTACAATTAAAACCCCAGTGTGGTATTCAAAAAAAAAACCTATATAAAACATTTTAAGGACTACTGGGAAATCTGAATATAGTCTACATAGTATCATCCATTTTCATCAATACAGTATTATGGTTATACACAACTATCCAGGAGAATGCTATTCTTAACAGATGAGTGTTAAAATAAGGAGTCCGCCAAAAAAATGTACACACACTTCAGGAAACGAAAAATTTGTGTAAGGTGCACCATCTCCAATTTTAATACCTGCAGATTTTATCTAGGTCGTACATACAGCTGAAAACCCATCACACCGCTGGCCCTTAAAGAATAAACTGAAAATGCATGCGCAGCAATCTCAATAACCAAGGTTCTCCAAGCAGCAGTTTGCAATACTAACAAATGTCTGGAAGCTCATGGCCACCACTTTGAGCACTTCTTCTACAGGCCAAAGGTTACATATGAATCTCATGATGTCTCAATAAAAGCAGTATTATAGTATTTTACAAGTTTTTCTTTTCCTGAAGTGTGCATACATTTTTTTGGGCACACTCTGTATTTAGGTCAAATATCTTGATATCTACATTACTTTAAATTGTTCAAAACCAATAAAAACACCAACCAAAGAAAGACAGGGGGCCAGGCATGTGGCACACACCTGTGATCCCAAGTCGGAGAGGCTGAAGGAGGTCTGCAAATTCAATCCCGGCCTGAGAAACTTAGTGACTTAACAAGACCCTATCTCAAAAAATAAAAGATCTGTGGATAAAGCTTAGTACAAAGGCCCTGGGTTCAATCACCAGTATCACCAAAAAAAAAAAAAAGGATATGAAGGTGAAGCAAGTATTTCCAAATGTTAAACCAGGTGTAGTGGTGCACGCCTGTAATTCAAGCACCGAACAGGCTGCAGCAGGAGGATCAGCTTGAGTTCCAGACCAGTCTGTGCTACCTAGTAAGTTCAAGGCCAGCAACATAACAAGACACTGTCTCAAAAATCAAAACAAAATGTAAAATGAGGAATTCAGATGTACAGTTTTTGATACACTGCACACAGAAAAAAACTTTCTAAATCTAAAAAAGTCACTGATTATGTAAGTTATTGATGACTTACACAGTACAGTAGAGGCTCATAGAGAGACCAAAGGTACAGGTGGATATTCTACAAGACCCACACAGAGAAGTAACAGTAAGACACACCTTAAAAATGCTTTATGCCAGGTGTATAATTACACCTGTAATCCCAGCACTCAGGAGGCTGAGGCAAGAGAACTGCCTCAAGTTCAAGGTCAACCTGAACTATAGCAAGACTCTGCCTCAAAAAAAGAAAAGAAAAAGAGCCATATGGCAAAATAAACTAAGCTTTGAGTTGTATAATACAGGTTCACAATCTATCTCTGAGATTTCAACACCACAGAGATACTTTTGTAATCTGAAAACTGGGAATAAAAATACATCTTTGAGTAACTAAGAGAATAAATAAGATCATGTGGAATGCACTGGCATCGTTACCTGGCACATTAGGCATCCCTACCATCCTTTCTTGTCTATATTCTATTAACTTTGATAACAAGCATCAGATGGTAACAAAGGTCACAATTTAAATTTTCACAATCCCTAAACTCAAACCTCCTAAGAAATTTTGATGCTTCAGATATTTTTTTTTTTTGAGACACGGTCTTACTGTGCAGTTCAGGCTGGCCTTGAGTTACTTTGTAGCACAGGCTGGCCTCGAACTTCCTGCCTCAGCCTCCCAAATGCTGAGATTACAGGTGTGCACCACCACACCTGGCCAGATATTCTATTCAAACAAATTAAACCATCTCTTAG